ACTTGGTATGTAGAGGAGATGAATGGAGGAAGGCATTGGGTTGAGTAATTGAAGTAAATGAATATGTAATTGAATAAGGAAATGATGTGAAATAAATAGATAGAGAGAAGAGACTAGACAAAAAAAAATAGTAATTGAAACAAATACAAGTATGGAAGGAGTTTAATTTTAACTCTTACACCAGTAAAGAAATACTTTATTTTATTGATTATTACAGCTGGTATCTGCCGGCTGTTGAGGCATCCTATCTAATGGCTGAATGTGGTAACTTGGCTGCAAGCTGTCTGTTCTGGGCTTCGTTGATCATCGTGTTGATGGTTTACTCTGTTTCTGGTCACTGACCTGAGGCACTCCAGCAAAGCATAGAGAGTCAATGCACTTGCTGAGAGGCAGCAATTGCACACAATACACACATCGCCGCACTTGCACACAAATGCACACAATGAATACGAAGTGGCTGATCGCACTGCAGCTAAGCATAGAGAGTCAATGCACTTGCTGAGAGGCAGCAATTGCACACAATACACACATCGCCGCACTTGCACACAAATGCACACAATGAATACGAAGTGGCTGATCGCACTCCAGCAAAGCATAGAGAGTCATTGCTAATGCGTATTGACCTTTGGCACTGCACTACGTGCTAATATGCAGCAATTGCACACATGAATAGTCCATGCTGAAATGTTGAGACTAAATAGAGGTTGTCTAAACAGTTTTAATACACAGCCAGGATAGTAATGGTGCTATGTGTGACCTGGGGTAAGCATTTCTACTGCTAGCTGTTTATATTATTGAATGATCCAGTTGTCAAGAGACGATCTCTTTGATTGTATGCATGTATTTTTATTTTGATATAAAAAAAAATCAATCATTCATAGTGATATTTCAGATTTTGCTTGCATAAACTGTGGATATTTCTAGACCGAGTGTTGTATGTTGATAAAAGAATCATGATGTTCAATACAGTAGTATAAATGTATAACATGTTTGTAACTTAATTGAGTAAAATGTAAATTTTTTTAGTACAAGAAATTACGCAGTCTTTAAGATATGCACCTTGCTTGTAATTTTTTTCGGAAAGATTTCCTTTTGCAACAGCCACCTAAAATCTAACCCTAACCCTAACACTATCCCTAACCCTGTTTTATATATCATATTATTATTAGATATATCATTGTAAGCTGTACCCATATTTTTTTCAATTTGGGTAGCTGTCGCAAAAGGAAATCTTCTCCTTTTTTCTTTTGTATTATGCTTAGGTAACAAGAAATACTTCAGCATTTAAAAGTGAACTTGATTATGAGATTACTTCAGCTCATAGCCAGGATTTTATTCAGATTAATTTCCTATCGAAACTTAAGGAAGAGTTTCTAGTACCAGAGGGCAATGAGTGAACTTGAATTTTAGTTAGAATAGGGATACAAATAAGGATTGTTTGTAGGTCATGTAGAGAATGACAGTGTTCCTATGAGGCCTGACAGTTGGAGGAATTTTATGGAATATGCAATCATTTATGCATATCGAGTATTGTAAACTTGTCAGTTATTCTAGCAGATGTGTGGAAGTTATTGAGAATGAATTCACCTTTATTAATCATTGTCCTAATGTCAATTCAATTCAATTCAGTTTATTCAATTCCAATACAGAACAGAATACAATCATAACAGTATAAATCCACCAAGAGTACGAAATAAGGTAAAATGATAAAACAATAAAGCGATACATCAGCTAACAACACAAGATAGAGCATTATTGGAATTTGGTGACCATAAAAACCATGAGGATTTGTCGAGACGACCACACTTAATAAAGGTAAAATAAGTTGCATTGAACATTCTATATTATATAGAAAATGTATAAGATAATAGAGTACTATATTAAAAGGTATAAATGATTACGAATATATGACATATTCTATTCAAAAATACATATTACCGCACAAACTCACCACAGGACAATACAAGGCAGCAAAATCAACAATTTAAATTTCAAACACTTGTGATTAAGTATGATTTGAGTTTTCTTTCAAAGGTATTCATTGAGTTAAATGACTTTATTTCTAGTAGAAGATTATTCCAGATAACAGTAGCATGATATCTAAAAGATATATTAACAGTCCATAGATGATATTTATCTCTGCTTCTTGTATTTAGTATGGTCATGTACAACTGCATTCAAAGTGAGCATTGCTGATAATGATTTTTTGGAGCATACTCTGCTTATGTTTAAAAAGTAATATTACACAGTGCTGTAGTAAGATCTGAGTTGAAAGACAGTAAGAACATGAAATTAAAAAAATTATCCTTTAGTATGGGCTTGTCTCCAAGAAAATAAACAGATACGAATAGCTCTTTTCTGTAATATATACAATGGTTGCAATTCCGTTGGATATGTGTTTACCCACACTACATTACAATAAGATAAATGAGTGTTATATCTTGTTATTCTAATATAACTTATGTTCATATTATATTAATATATGCAACTACTATTTTGAACATGTAATTATTTATGTTTTATTCTTCTGCCTTTGCCTTTCTTTGTATTTGTTTTTGAGTATTTGTTTACGATTGGTGAATAAACTGCACTACATCGCACTGCACCTTTGTATGATTGCTTTATTGGGTCACTGCAACTAAGACCTGCTACAAAATCTATAATATCGGTATTAAAATCCAATATGTATAACTTTATTTCGTGACTGTTAGCTAATAAAACCATAGTAGCATTAATGTACCCTACTGCTTTAACATTGACACTCCAGAAGTTATGTTTCCTTACTAACACAAATCATTTTTTTCTTCAAGTTTGTTCAATTTCCCGCTCCGTAGACTAATCGCAGGCCAAATGTAAACTAGGCATTGGTTTATTAACGTAATACAATGACCAGATATAGATGTGGATGGTATCGTATCGAACAAAATTAGCTTGACATTACCTACAATACCCATAAAAAACTATTGTGATATATAAGATTTTTAAAGAAATATATACTTTATGTTCGAATACAATAACCATTTATCTTAATCTATGATAATGCACATAAAGTCTTTAAGCTTATTTTACAGGTGGATATACATGTACGTACGAGTTATATTATTATTGCATTAACATAGAGTTTTCATCACTTTGTAAGCATGTCATTATCTTTCTTTCTTTTTTTCTTACAGCCCCCTCCCCCCCCCCCCCCAACCCCAACACACATTATCTAGCGATCTAGATAGGCTTAATTCGTGTCATGATAGTTCTTTATGTATTCTACAGGTACAAATGTATTTCGCAATTATACCGTTCCTGAGTTTGGTCATTGGTTCCAAAGCTTTGACAACAGTATAAAAACTGAATGAGGAGGGGATAGGGAGGGGGAATCCCATAGTTACGAAGATTTACTCTCTTTACTCTGCCCTCCTCTCTAGAAAGGCATTCATCTTCTTGAGTGGGAGTTCACACTGTCTTCCAAAATGTTCTTTCGTGAGTTCTAAAAACTCTCCATAAACTGGACTCGTTTGCTAAGTCTCTTTCATTTTACGGACCGCCTCACTTTGAGAAAAGAGAGGAGGAAGAAGGAGGGGGAGGGTGGGGGCTTTGTCGTTAGTTAAGAATATTAATTTCTTTGCTGCTCTGTCTTTCTCTCGAGTAAGGCATCCATCTTCTTGTGCAGGAGTTTCATGCTGTCTTCCTGATGAACCACTCGATGGTGGATACTCTTCTCTTCCAATAACTAATCGAGTTTTGTAGAGTTCCGAACATGCATTGAAATTGTAATTTCACGTCATCTTTGATTTAATATAAACTCTAGTTAACTCTTATCCTGCCACAGGGCTAATCCCCCTGTTAATGCGATGGTACTACCAATAGCGCGTGCAAAACACTAGGCACAGTCCAATGGGCATGGACCATAACTGCTATTACGAATGCGTGCTAGCATGCAAGAAGCAGAGTAACAATAGCGTACATGCAGCCTTATGGCAGGCTATGAGTTAATGCTTCCCCCGGGCGCCGTACGGTAAATGAGTCTACAATTTTTCGTGCGATTTGGGGGGCATCGTAGGAGGCTACGGGCTACGCTGTTTGTGTTTACATTGTCATTTCTTGTATTGGCCCTCGGGGGCAGGCCGGGGCAAATCCATACAGAGGCTGCTCGGAGATTGTACAGAAATAGTGGAATTTCGTTGCAGTAGCCGTGCAGTCTCCGCAGCCTCCGCCCGGAAATCGTCCGGAGTCCGTACACATTCCGTGCAGAGGATGCGCGGAGAAGACGCGGTGACCGTGCAGCCGCCGAGCAGTTTTTGAGAGTCCGATCAGCGGCAGGCCTCCGCGAGAAGCCCGTGCGGGGAGTGTGCAATGCCACCTACGACATGTCTACGGGCTATTTTTTTCCTTCAAATTTGTATAATTTCCCGCTCCGTAGACTAATCGCAGGCCAAATGTAAACTAGGCATTGGTTTATTAACGTAATACAATGACCAGATATAGATGTGGATGGTATCGTATCGAACAAAATTAGCTTGACATTACCTACAATACCCATAAAAAACTATTGTGATATATAAGATTTTTAAAGAAATATATACTTTATGTTCGAATACAATAACCATTTATCTTAATCTATGATAATGCACATAAAGACTTTAAACTTATTTTACAGGTGGATATACATGTACGTACGAGTTATATTATTATTGCATTAACATTGAGTTTTCATCACTTTGTAAGCATGTCATTATCTTTCTTTCTTTTTTCTTACAGCCCCCTCCCCCCCCCCCCCCCCTAACCCCAACACACATTATCTAGCGATCTAGATAGGCTTAATTCGTGTCATGATAGTTCTTTATGTATTCTACAGATACAAATGTATTTCGCAATTATACCGTTCCTTAGTTTGGTCATTGGTTCCAAAGCTTTGACAACAGTATACAAACTGAATGAGGAGGGGTAGGGAGGGGGAATCCCATAGTTACGAAGATTTACTCTCTTTGCTCTGCCCTCCTCTCTAGAAAGGCATTCATCTTCTTGAGTGGGAGTTCACACTGTCTTCCAAAATGTTCTTTCGTGAGTTCTAAAAACTCTCCATAACCTGGACTCGTTTGCTAAGTCTCTTTCATTTTACGGACCGCCTCACTTTGAGAAAAGAGAGGAGGAAGAAGGAGGGGGGGTGGGGGCTTAGTTGTTAAGAATATTAATCTCTTTGCTGCTCTGTCTTCCTCTCGAGTAAGGCATCAATCTTCTTGTGCAGGAGTTTCATGCTGTCTTCCAGATGAACCACTCGATGGTGGATACTCTTCTGCGAGTTCTGAACGCTCTCCGACTCCTGGACCTGTTTACCATGCCTTTCTCTCATATCATGGATAACCTCATCTACCTTCAGGGAAATATCCTTGATCCGATCCTCGTCCGCAAGCTGATTACATAATCAAAGTTATAAGAAATTAAGTATTCGTATTACTTAGGATTTTTTCTCAAATCAATTTTATTTCTGTTTCCCAAAAAACGTTACAAATCAATTATAATAATTGTCAACAATAAAGGAATATATATTGAAAACAGAGGGGTTCACTAGAAGGCAATGATTATACAATGGTGGACCCCTCAAATGATAGTTAGAAATGATGAGTAATTAGAATAAAGTAATTAAATCAAACTCGTAACTACAGGAACTAAGGAACTACAAAAAGGAAGAAAAAGAAGAAGATAGGGGAAGGGGGTGCCAACAGAGACGAGAGCGGGACAACGAGTACTTTACATGACAATGCCCCAATGCCAACAAAACATTACACATCAGTTACATTTGTATAATCATTTGCAACAGTTAAGGAATACATATTGGAAACAGAAGAGTCCACTAAAAGCAATGCTTCTACAATCGTGGCCCTCTCAAATGGTAGTTAGGAATGATGTGTAATTAAATTAACAGATTCGTAACTACAAAAAGGAACTACAAAAAGGAAGAATAAATGGGGTGCCAACAGAGACGAGAACGGGGCAAAAGATTACTTTATATGACAAAGATAGAAGTGTTTGGGAGATACATGTACGAGTAAACGAAACGGAGATCACAATACATACCTGTTTGTTATTGCAAATTTTAATCGCTTTCTTCAGTTCTTTCCTCAGACTCGAAATTAGCTGCATCCATTTGCCGACCCTCGTCTTACTCACGACGAATGCCTTCCTACGAATAACAGACGATCTCCATACCCACAGCGGAAATTTACACTGCAGCTCCATCACATAATCAACCTATAAAACAAAGCATATAGTCCATAATTGAAATAGTAAAAGGGGGAGAGAGAAATCATTCATCTTTGAAATAAGGATTTAATTGCACCAAAGTCATTTTTCATCCTTACGGTTGGGGATTTAGGGTAAGACGAAGAGCTAATGTCTATGTTAGCAAAACCTTATAACAAAAAAATATTATTACTTTACCTGAAGAATATTATTAATTTTTAGCACTGTTAGAACATGACTTTGCTGTAAATGAGGAAATTATATTTTCGATGTCAATATGTCAATATATAGAGTATTAGATTTGCCCTTTATGATGTTTTTTTTTACCTTGTATAAATGACCTGCAATTCAGCTTCGGCTGCGAGAACGTCATATGAATAAACCCTTATTGAATTGAATTGAATTGAATTTATACAAATGGTTATATTTTTAACATAACTTGTATCTTCTGTTTGAATATCTTGAGTTTTGTTGGCTAACTTTTGGCAAACTTACCTGCATTGTAAGTCGATGAAGGTGTGCTTTGGCTTGAATAGCTTGGATGTCATCAACCGCTAAACCAACCTAAAAATAAGAAGAAGACGAGCTCACTCGGTTGTATCTAATCAATTATATCATTATTTGTGTGGGTAAAAAAGGGAAACCTTGTTGGTAATTGTCAGGCAGGGCATGCATGGGGCATTATTCTCAATATATGAACAAAACGTGAGCGAGCAAAGCAATTGAAAAGTAAGGGGATCTAGAATAAGCTTGTGTCCCCTCCCTCCCCTTGTCTCTACCTATCTATATATATCTCTTTTCCCTGCTCTCTATTTCTCCAATTCCTTTTTACCTATCGGTGATGTAAATTCTCAGTCGATGTTTCCTTCCATATGGGGGTAATCTTTGTTAATTTGTGTCATTCCTGGTAATTGTTATCTTTACTCTTACATACACTATAACCAGGAAGTTTGAAATTTGTTATCCAATGTATAAACAAAATTGAGAATGATCCTATCTGTATGGATTGAAATCAGTAAAGTTTGAATTTTAATTTGTATCTATTTAGTGAAGATCCTTCCGCCAATGATAAAAATACAAATACTTACCAACATGTTCATCATGATAATAGGCATGAGCACGACGAAGAGGATGAAGAAAACATAGGTCAGTTTTGGTATGAAGAGAGAGTCGGTGAAAGAAGTGGACTGGGATTCCATGTAGTCGCTACTGAAGAAAATGCTTTCAAAATCAAACTCGCCTATCATCATGACGAAAGTCTTGGCCAATGAGTCGCCCACAGTGTGAAACGCGCTCTAGAAATCGAGAGAATGGCAACATTTTTGGTTGAGTCATGGATTGAATTGAATCGAATTGAATCAAACGGAATGCAAACGGTTTTTTTTTTCTCATAGCAATTGGTTATTAATTCGATTCGGATACGAGTGGAAAACATAGAACTGAAGTCCATAGTTGTATTTTCAGGAACTTGTTAAATATGCTATGCTCTGACTGTAACAGACCATAATGATAACAAATGATATTATAAGATGGTTAGAACAACCCCTGCAATGTGATTGGTCAATTACCGTGTAGTTACTTTTACTGGATGCACGCGATATCAACACGATATATGCGATATTGGAATCGATATCACCGATATCCTAATTGTTTGCACTTTCTTCTTCACTAAGGAAAACAACAAAACCCAAAACAAGATGGCGAAATCGCGGCGGCGATTTGATTTTCCAGCTTCTATAAGAAGAAGAATTATCTAAATTGTTGGATGATTCAGATGCGACTAGCATGAAAATTTCAATTAAAGTATGGATTCTCAAAGTTGGAAAAGTTTGCGCAGATCAAGAACGTCAATTTAGGAGACATTTTTACGCCAGAATTGGACAAACTGTTATCGTTCTAAACTAAGTTCTATGCTTCTGTACATAGACCGACGGTGAGTTGTAAACCTATACTTTAGTACCTTCGCTGTGGCATACAACGCCATTTTTTGGATCACTGTACTTTAGATATCTGTAACAAATTTCAATTTCTCGAGGCTGTGTTGGTGAAACTGAAGCGAGGGGGGCCGGGAAGCACCACACATAAAGCCTCAATTTCTGTACTTGATATGAACAAGATCCAGACCTCTTCTAATTTAGATTGCACCTCCTCAAAACTCAAGAAAGCTTGCAAAATAAGTTTGTATTGATTTAATGACTTTCTTTTGTTAAGGTTTCATGTAAAGGTTAATTAGGCCTGACTTTATTTTGTTAAGGTTTAGGCCTCAGTCTTTATATATTTGTTTAAATCCATTGCACTAAGTAACAGCAGACAAATTATGCAAATTAAAAAAAATCATGCGTCCGGTAATAACCGGACGCATGATTTTGCCATGCATCCGGTAAATCCGTAAAATAACAACATTTTGTATTTTTGACAATTTTGGGGGCCCCATCTTATAAAACAGATGATGCAGAGGGTTAATTCGTGGGTCGGTGGAATTGTGTGCACGTTGTACCTTTGAATTTGGTCTAAAACTATTCAAAGGTACCTTGTGCACACAATCCCTACCGACGCACTCTAACCTGTGCATCATTTGTATACTGAATAGGAGTGACCATGCTGACAGTAATAAAATGTTGAATTTAACAAATGTGTTTTGCATGACATCATAACATATCTCTCTTCCTCTTCATGAATATCTCTCCCTGCCCCCCCCCCCCCCACCACCCCCTCTGTCTCGCTTTCTCTTTCTCTCTCTCTCTCCGTTTCTGTCTCATTTTCTTTCTTTCTTCCTCCATCTCTTTCTTTCTCCCCTCTCTTTCTGACTGTTGTCCAAATTTCGGACGCCATCATTCACCCATCTTCAGATTCAGCCAATCAATGTTGATTGAGTTTCTAAGCTTCAAATAGTGATTGGTTGATGCTGCAAACACATTATAGATGTTCAAAGCAAACTAGTGATTGGATAATGAATACGTTCATGATGTACCTTGTTCATCAGCAAAGCGTAGAATGTCAGTGCGAATGCCATGACAACAATGAACAGGATGAATGCAAACTTCAGGAAAGTTCGTGTGATATCTACCATAGGAAAACAAGAATAGGAAATGTACACTCTATGTCTGTAGTACACCAAAATTATCATGAATGATGTACAACAGATGTAGTGAGCCGTATTTACCACAAACATAAAATACAAAGTTTAATCGATATAAATGATGCCAAACTTTGAAAGCTAGAGCGCCATCTCGTCGGGGATAAATCCAAAATTACTGAAGAGTATCATAATGGGTCTCAGTTGAGAAGCCAACCAATATTTCTATGGATGATAACGTTTCTATCCGCTGGCTTGGCTGTATATCACATTAGTTGCATGTGGTTCTTTCATGGGAGTTGGCTTGTCCAAGCAAATATCATAATACAGAGGAACGATATATCAACTTAAAAATCATTGATGACACATTTGTAGACAGAAATTTAAAAATGGGCCAAAGATATGGAATATCCGCTTAGCTGATGTTGTGGGGGGAGGGAGGGGTCAGCACATTTTCCCCAGTTAGGTCGTGCTCTTATCCTTGTTTAGTAACAAATATGATGTTAATGATACATACATACTTAAAATTTAATATTTATAAAGCGCCTTTACATAAACATGCTCAAAGCGCTTTACATTAGTAAACAAAACAGAATAATTATTTTGCTCTCCGAGTGCATACACTGTAAATTTGATGTGTAATGATCCAACACAAACGGCGTATGTGCAATTAAATAAACAAATGATTTCAAAAAATGGCAAGTAAGAAAATTTGTTTTCACCTAAGAACATGATGACATAGATGCCCAGTAAGGATGATCTTCTCATGAAGAGAACCAGGTTGATCCAAGCCAGAAACCCTGCACAGGCACCTAAGGGCCACTGCCATGGCTGGTAGGCGAAGAATAGGTAAAGAGGCATTATAAAGGAGGCAGGTAGGATAACAAATGCAGCCGTTTGAAATATAGTCTACCAGCATCTTACATTTTAGAATAAGAAATGAGTGTAGTTGCAAGGGTATTATAAAGGAGACAGGTAGGATAGCAGGTAGGATTCAAATAAATAGTCTACAAGAATCTTAAATCTTAGACTAAGAAATGAGTGTAGTATTTTTGTTTTTACTTTTAAAGTTAAGTACGATGTGTCTAGTCGTGGAACAAGGAGAGGGATGGGGTGGGGATGGCAGTTGTCTTCATAAGTAGACGTCGAGTGGTCAAAGAGGGATTTCCCCTACATGAAAGAAGTCGTAGGGAACCATTTTTGTCTTCTTAATTTCGTTCTTTTTTTCGTTCTTCCATTTCTACCTCTTCCTGCGCTACACCACGTCTTAAATGTGTCTGAAAGGAATTATCACGTGGATGACAGCCATCCTAATAGAATGTGATGTTGAAAGATGTTTTACTTGTACAGGTACTACGGGAATATATTAAAAAAACATTATGTACACCCCTTACGAAAAAAAAGTTAGCTTAACAATATATTAACATGTATTTATAATCTGCTGCACTCAGAAAAATAATACATTTTCATTTACATTTATAGGTAGAATGGTTTCAAGATTAATCGTCATAAAATCACGACAATTAAATGACTCTGACTCATACAAATCCGTCATAATGTCAATGCTATTCAATCAAATCATTTTAATTACCTGTATAAGATGACCATTGTTGACGAATTCGACGTCACCCCGTGGCAGGGTGAACAGGATAGCGGCGATGTATAAGAAGAGCTCCAGATAGTTGTTAGCACTCTTGAAGTAGTTTAGTCTGTGAACTGCCATCTGTATAATCTGGAGGAAAACAGAAAGGATGAAACCATGCGGATGTACGTAAAATACTTCATTTTGGAAGCTCGAAAAACAAGGTATTTAAGAAACTTACATATTCCATCAAGAAACGGCTTGTAAGGTACATTTACTTTACTGATATGAAACGGGTTGTCTTGCCACTAGAGCAGAGGCAGTATATAGAGGCAGTCGACATGGTCGAAAAGTGCATCAAAGAGTGAGAGAAGGAGATATGCATGCAGAAAGAAAGTAATATGGGCATGAAGTCAGAAAGAGGAAGAGGAGTTGGGGCGGAGGAGATGATGGAAGAGGTGGAGGTGGAGAGGAAAGAGAGGGAGCACGAGAGAGGGAGAGAGAGAGGGGGGGGGGGGGGGGAGAGAAAGAGAAAAAAGAGAGATATGGAGAGAGAGAGAGAGAGAGAGAGAGAGAGAGGAGAGAAGGAGAAATATGGAGAGAGAGAGAGAGAGAGAGGGGGGGGGAGAGATGACAATTTAGCAACCAAAATGGAATATAAAGACACAGGTACCACATTTTATATTTGCCTACCTCTCTGAATAAATTGAGCACGGACAGGGCGATGATGACGATGTACCCAAACCGGTTGAAGATGAGCACGTTGAAATGCGAGGCGCTGTCCACCCATCTCTGCTTCCCATCGGCCTTCCAGGTGATGCGATCCGGGTTCTCCAGGGTGTGGTTGAAAGACTGGACATAGTAGCTGGGTGGCATGACGATGATGAACCCGGTCAGCATGAAGAGGAAGAGAAGGTAGATGACGAGGGAGGAGATGAAGGCGTAGCGACCCACCGAGACCCACTTGTGATGCAGGAAGGTGGTGACGACGGGGTGATCGAGGAGACTCTCGCGCTGAAGGCTCGTCTGAAGAAGGATGGGATATGAGTAGAAACAGTAGGAATAGAACATTTCTTCTGTGTGCTCGTATTATATCGTTGATATTCAAAACAGATTCTAACTCAGGATTCTCAATGAAGAACGTTTGGACTTGTCATGGAGCCGGGTCTTCTTGACATGTCTATACCATGAAGCTCGTCCACGGACTAAATAGACAAATCCATTTTGTTCGTTTCCAGTGATGCCTCACCAAAGTTTACCTGGCTTGGTTTATAATAGTATAACACATCACTTTGTCAATACCCTACAATGGGGTGACTAGCTAACGGTTGAATACATTTATTTTAAAAATGAGATAAGATAATCTTTCCGCTAAGAAAGAAGCACACCCTTTGCATTTCTTATATTCATGGTTAATAAGTTGATTAAAAAAAGAAAATCCGCTTTATCATCGGGAAAAACATGTGATATCTATTTATTTTTTGAAGGCCATTGGACGTCCTTAGACGTCCCTATGTACCAATTTCTCAAATGTTGACGAAAAATGATTATGGTATCCTTACCATGATCTGCAGGGGATGGTTCAAGAACCGTTCTCGAGGGTCTGTGATGTAGGGCCAGGCACTGCGCTTCAAACGACCTTTGATGTCGAATTGGGAATTCTTCGCTTTAGCTGAGTGATAGGATCCTCTCATTGTTGATAACCTATGATAGACTCTGTTCAGAAGCCCTTCCTGTTTGCCACCGTCTTCTTTAAAGAGATACAGAGTCATTTGTGTCATTGATTCAAGTGTGATGGAAAATCTTTCCTAAACAGATTATTGGTAACTGTTAACATGACAATGTCACACTGGAAATATTTGTTGTTTTACCTGATTGCTGAGAAAGCATGTGTTTGACTGTAAGTAAGCAACCAAGATAAAAACGACTCAAGTCTTTTCCGAGGGATTAATGCCTTACCAAAGGGCACTAGTGCATCGAATGGGATTCGAACCCGGGACCTCTCGGTTTTGATACCACTGCTCTGCCCCTAAGCTATCGCACCTGTCAATCTTGACCTTTACCTTTGTTCCACTACATCGGCAAGAAATATCAGGACCAATGTCGACTTTCCGCCTATGAATTTCTTTTTTTTAAATAAAAATATTGGTCTTTATTGACCTTTCTGTGGCAGTGTTGGTAAACATGGTGGTCTCTTGGTCTCGGCTGATTTCAGCGACTTATGTTTTTTTGTTTCTTTCTTTGTTTATTTATAATTTTGTGATGTATGACATCGAGACATCAAACATCTTATTTCAGGAATATTCCTTGAATGCTTGGAACTTCGTGAGGGAAGTCCACTAAACAACTAATATGCTTTTCATTCGAGTACTTGGAGCGTCACTGTGTGACGTATTAAAAGCCAAATTGATCGTTATAAAATCTAAGACGTACCTATCATGACGTCACAGACTTCACATAAAATTACGAAGATTGAATACGAGATTTTTCTCACCAGGTTGTCTGATCCATGGGGAGAAAGTGTCTTCAAGGAATTCATAGTAGAACTCCACCGTCTTAGTCTTACTGGGTTTGGACGAGTATTCTCCACCAGTCACTGTGATGCAACGATCAAGTACTATCTGCGCTACATCTGTATTAGGATAATAGGAATAGCAATGATGAAAGTAATCAGATGATAATATTAAAAATTGTATAACAATGCTGAAAATAGGCCTAAAATATAATGATAACAACAATAATAATAACAACGACAACAATAATAATAATGATAATAATAATAATACTTATATTAATTTCAATATTAATTACAATAATAATAATAATAATGATAATAATAATAATAATAGGAATTATAATAATAACAACAGAACGATGGAAATAATAGAATTATATAATAAGAATGAATAGCCTACAATAATCATGATTAAAGATAACAACAATGATAACTAATGATAGCCCGGATTTACATTGCCCTTTATGTATCACCCCGATAATGGGATTAGATTACCAACAAAACGTGTGCACCATCTCCATATACCATCTCGGACGGCATATGGCAAGACCCAAATATAACGGAAATTCTTCCTACACTATCATAGAAATAAATACATATTGATAAGAAATTGAGGTTCACATAAAAATGAGGATTCAATCTAAACAAAAACGAATGTAATTAAAAGGTGGAATGATACATGTTAAAGGGATACGACAGAAATATGTGTTACCAGGCATTGACTGGATGAGTTTTCTCATGGGCGTGGTCCGATAGTTAGTCTCCTCATCCAGACTCGAGATACACATCAGTTCTCGCCATTTTGAATGGCGGAGAATCAGCTTTGCTACATCCCTTCGAACATAAATTAGAAGATGATTGGACGAGAGGAAAAAGTCTATATAGCAATGAAATTCTTATGTCTTGATGGGTCAATTACAGAACTCATGCTCAATGTACTTTTTAAGCAGTATAAAGAGCGACGTGTCGACTAAAACCGTGCGTCTTTTAATTTTGGAAATGACCCGGGAGGGCAAAATATTCGATTTCATGTCATAATACTCAAAAGAGAAACACGGGATGGGGGGGAGGGGTATATATGGGCTGACGACAGAACACTGCAAGTTGCTTTGTTTTCTTCTTGTCCTTCCAATTCGGTATATGCCGGCCAGCTTCACCCTTAACTAGATACATTGCCAATGATCATGGTATGCACAATTTGAGAATGCTACCTTGAAAATAAAAATAATATGAAATCATTTGACTCCTAAAATATCTAATTCCCATGAGGCAAAACAAAAATACAGGCAGCATCTAATTCACGGAGGCTGATTAATTGATCTAATTTACTACATACTCATATCCGTTGTCGATGGCGTGATCAAGACATGTCCGTCCGTCCTCGTCACACACGACTGCGTTGGCCTTGTTGGTGATGAGGTCGTCGTCCTGATCGAAGAGTAGCATCTCCACCATCTCAATCTGGCCGTTCATACACGCGTGGTGCAGGGGTGTCATCTGATGGTCCGACATGGCAACAAGAAAAAAAAAACGACTTGAGCATTAAAAAAAAAAAACATAGATAAACCATTGACGACAAGATGTGTAAATAAAGACTGATAATCCAGAAAAGGAATATAATTCTTTTTGATAAATATCAAGTATCCACCAAGGTCTAATTTTACCTAGTCCCAAAACATGCGGATTTTCTTAAAGGCATCGTCTAACAATGTTACATCTGAGATGCACGGCCCTCCGTGATATCAGTGTCTATGATATGGTGTAATATTGAAGCCCTAAAAAAAAGGCGCTTCAAAATGATCAAGAAGTACCTCAAAAAAAGAAAAATCTTTGAGTGACCGGTTTTACCATACTCGTTTTCCCCAATAGACAATAGTGTTATTCCAATCATAAATATCTTGATAATCAGACAGGCGATCGGTTTGTAAAAGTCATTGAGTTCCTGACTGACCTAAAGGTTTATAATTATCATCGGAGCATGAGCTAATTCCAGGATTTTGTTTCAGAATCCTATACAAAGTTATCGGATCCCTTTAATACATACATGTAAATACTCACATAATGTTGCTCCCTAAGAATAGAGTAGAAAGAAAGAGACAGATAGACAGACAGAGAAAGAGAGAGAGACACACACACAGACAAAGAGAAAGACAAAAAGACAGAAAGACAGAGAGAGAGAGAAACAAGACAGAGACATACAGAGAGGGAGAGACACAGAGAGAGAGAGAGAGAGAGAGAGGGGGGTTATATTCAAATTGCATAGCATATAATTATGCAATGATGTTGTGGTTATGAGTTTCTTCAAACAGTTTCTTTCCCGCCCCTCAAAAAACCTGATCCCCCTCCCCTCTCCGAAAAAACAGGAAGGGGGGGGGGGGGGGGCTCACCTCGCTCTGGTCCCTCTCATCGATGTGAGCGTGATAATGTAGCAGTATTCCAGCTGGTCTAGTCCAGCCGTTCCCCGCAGCAAGGTGCAAAGGGGTCCGCTCACCTTCTCTCTGGGAATTCCTAGAAACGAGCAATATAATAGTCAAAATATAGAATAGATATTAGACGAAATTATGATTAAATAAGAGATTTGTAAACGTTTGTCATATTTTGCTTTCGCTAAGAGCAAGTAGAACGTGTACAGATTATTTGAAAACAGGAGGTGTATCAAATATTACCGGAGGAGGGGGCGGGGGGGAGGCTCGCCTATGTAAGTGTAGAAAACAGGCGCGCGTTAAGGGTGCCCCCTTCCAGGCGCGTACGGACCTTACCCCCCCCCCCCCCCCAACGGAGCAAAATGTATTCCCCCCCCCCCCCCCCCCTCACACACACATCAAAGATTGAGAAAGGGTGAAACAAGCCGACTTCAGGCGGAAGACTTCTTCGCCATCCCGGTTTAAAAATATCATTGTTCGGTGTCTTGTCGGTCTGACTAACTTTGCATTGACGTGAGCCCTAGCCTTGATGAGTTCAAGCATGATGACGGTATCACCAATCTCGGCGGCGTAGTGCAAGGGTGTGTTCCCTCCTGCGTCCGTGTGATGTACAACGGTCTGATGGGACCAGTTGAGGAGCACCATCACCAACCTTTAATAATTGAATAATAGGAATTATAATGATAATGTTGATGAAATATCAATGATAAACCGATAAACCGAACATCGTAAATAAACTATTAAATCTAGAATGACTTTAAAGATACTATGTCCCTTTTGCAGCCAACATCAAATTCTTTAAAACGTTGCAGGAATTATGAATATGTCATGTATGTCCTATCTGTGAAATTTAAACGTTAGCAGTGTCCTAGTATTTAAATTATGCAAGGAAACCCGTTTACTTGCTAGACTTCACTGTCAGACACTATTGAGTGACTGACTGGCTTTTTTTTCTTCTTTGGCAATAACATATATAATATGAGCTGTAAAGGGTACATGAGCATTTGTCTACATCAATAACCCACTACTTGTAATGGCCAAAATTAAACTGATTGAAACTTTGTGCAGCACAAAACAAGGATCTGAAAATCATACTATTACTTAGATTATGCAATCACATATGTCGATTCAGCAACTAATGGTCCTCATTTTCCCACAAAAAGCCATTTTCAAATCCTTACGTTTTGAAGGAGGTTCTAAATAAGTATTGTCTTTTAAATGCCGTTGGTATTTAACCTTTTCATTTAGTACCTTAAAATGAAGCGAAAACAATATTTGTAGCGACGAAAACGATTGACATATTCTTACTCTTTGTGTCTGTTCTTCACGGCATCCATAATAAAATCCATGATATCCCTATCAGACAGAGTAGGGAACCGTACGTCACTCTCCAGAATCTGTTATTGTATTGAAGAATAGACTTATGCATTTAGATTATCATTGCGTGAGGGGTTTCAATGAACTAGCGGATCACGTACATCGATAATTCATACCCAAACTCAGGTTATTCTAAAATACACAAAACTCCCCATCATGATTTCACAAAATACTGTACGTAATTTAAATTACACTTTGTACTTTCTTAATAGCAATGAAGTATTCATACTATTTTTGTTATTGAAATAAATCTTTATTCAAATACAGATATGTAATTTGATCTCATTTAAACATGTGATGAAGTGCTTGTTATGAATACTTATGTATGATGTTATCCGTGATTTTGTATCTGAAATATAAAAACTATGGATTTTTATTTTGGTTCAATTTTCGGAGTCTCCTATACCTTGCTGAGCGCGGCTGCTTTGTTGTTTGCCGCTGCCCATCTCTGAATCTCAGCTCCTACTTCATGATGTTTTCGACTCGACGATACCAAACACCTAAGCAGTGTGAGAAGGGCATCAAAGCTGTCGTGGTTTATGGCCACCTGCAGCGGGCTGAGGTAGGTCGAGTCATGGATTGTGATGTCAGCACCGCTATTGATGAGGGAGAGGAAGATGTAATTTGTTTATTTATCATTTTATTATTTTTTTTGTTTTTAAATCAATTGTTCATTTTTAACTATTTATCATTTTTTTAAAATTATTATTTATCTGTATTCAATTGTCTATTTATTGTAAATATTGATTATTTCTGTCAATGCAAAATGAGCAATAATGTACTAAACTGTTGCTAATATATTAACCAATGTCACTTAATTACTAATGCGGCTGTCAAATTTACTAACAACTACAATTTTGTTATATACGATCATATTAATGATGATATTTGTTTTGTTACGTTTTCTCAGACATGAAACTGTTGATTAGAGCTAAACATAAAATTGTTATATTATTATCTTGATTGTCATCTTCATCACCATCTTCATCGTCATCATCACCATAATCATCATCATCATTATCATCATCATCATCATCATCATCATCATCATCATCATCATCATCATCATGTTCTACCGACACTCTGAAGAACAGTTTCTGACTGGAGTGTGTAACCGTAGTTATATGAAATTAACTTTTAAAAGATCATAATTATCTTCATCCTCATCACCATCGTCGCCATCATCATCATCATCATCATCATCATCATCATCATCATGTTCTACCGACACTCTGAAGAACAGTTTCTGACTGGAGTGTGTAACCGTAGTTATATGAAATTAACTTTTTAAAGATCATAATCATCTTCATCCTCATCACCATCGTCGCCATCATCATCATCATCATCATCATCATCACTACACAACTCCTTACTTTTCGAAGAGAAAGCTTGCAATCTTCGCCCTATCGTGGTTACAAGCCAGATGAAGGGCCGTCTGTCTGTCTCGGTTTTCGCAGTTCATCGAAGCGCCCCTACAGACGAGGTCTTTGACGATGTCGAGATGACCCGCCGAGCTCGCCACATGGAGAGGTGTGTTTTTATGGTGATCGACGTTGCTTACCAGATCATCTTTAAGATAGATAGGAAGAGAAAGAAGAGATAGAGAGAGAGAGAGAGAGAGAGAGAGAAGAGAGAGAGAGAGAGAGAAGAGAGAGACAGAAAGAGAGAGAGAGAGAGAGAGAAGAGAAGAGAGACAGAAAGAGAGAGAGAGAGAGAGAGAGAGAGAGTTAATACTTGTTGAGTGTCAGGAGTGTCAATTCTAATAGACATGAGCATTGTACAAGAATCCACTATTATTATCATTATCATTATTATTATTATTATTATTATTATCATCCTTGACACACATAATGACAAACGTGGAATCCGTATAAATTGAATGCAGATTTACAACGAACGATTTTTGGGGAAAGAAACTGGTCAGACTGAAGGCATGTAAATTTCAAAATGTCAAAAGTAAAGTCGCCTTAGGTCTATAACTTTACAACATTCTTATGGGTGAATTGAGGGAATAGTCGCTGATTCTTTGTCTGGAACTTTTTCGTTCCCTATCTTTATATCTATTTTCTGATACCTCAGTACAATCACAGTTCTGCTATGACACAGCTGACAGTTGCATTGATTATTCTTGGTGTTATATATATTATTAATTGTTTTTTTGGAGAAACAAATTCAACGTAAATAAATTAATAAAATCCTAAATAATCTCATTAAAAAGAAATATATATATATATTAATTCTTAAAAATTCACCTATTCATCCATCCATCCCTTTATCCATATATTTATTCATCCATCCATCCCTTTATCCATCTATCTATTCGTCCATCCATCCACTCATCCATTAATTTATTCATCCATCCATCTATCTATTCATTCATTTATCCATCAATCCATTCATTCATTTATCCATTCATTCATTCATCCATCCATCCATCCATTATTTCATTCATTCATCCATCATTCCATTCATCCATCCATCCACCCACCCACCCACCCACCCATCCAACCATCCATCCATCCATCCATCCATCTATCCATCCATCCATCAATTCATGTATGAAGTTTACCTGTTCCACAAGCCATCAATGTATTGACCACCTCCACGTCACCGTGTAGAACAGCAATATGGAGAGGGTTTGTTTTCTTTCCATCCTGCTCTGTGATGACGGTCAATATACCCTGCTTGCCGACATCGTCCACCAGTTCGTTCAGCTTCGCGACATCGCCTGTTTTGACGATTGCAAGTAAATTACGGAGGTCGTCCGGTGCGTCCGGTGGGGGAGATTGCTGGCCCTTCTGATAGGAGTATGAATATGAAAAAATATTGTCGTACAGCTGCCTATTAAGAAAATACACCTTTGGGCGATTCCATGCAACATCTTCTGTTCGACAAATATATTTTTGTCCATCTATCTCATCCCCATAATGGAAAATCTCTTAAGCCCAACTGTACTACTTGTAGCTACTTGCGCCCTCTATATAAAAAACAATGCATAATCGGTGACCACTGGTCTCCCATGATCCTCTATTTCTTATGTTAATTTAGAGCTGATTTGACGAGATAACCACCTGTCGTGTGACCTTGCATAGTGGTCTAATCCCTCATGTACACTAGTACAGATGGGCTTTAAAGGTACTTTGCAGCAAACATCACATTCTGTAGAATTATGCAGGAATTATGAACATGTCATGTATGTCCTATACTATATGTGAGATTTAAACGTTAGCAGTGTCCTTATATGCACATTATGCAAGGAAATCCCGTTTTACTTTTTAGACTTCACTGTCAGATATTATTGAGTAACTGACTGACTTTTTTGTCTTTGGTAATATAGTACGTGAAATAAGCTGTAAAGGGTACATGAGCAATTTTCTACATCAATGACCCAATTCTTGTAATGGCCCAAAAGCCCCAAATTAAAATGATTGAATCTTTGCGCAGCACAAGACGTACGACCATTTGGTACAAGGAATCTCTAAATTCGATTCGACAACTAATGGTCGTTATTTTCCAACTTAAAGACATTTCAAGAGACAAGCTTTTGTTGTATAAAATTTGAAAGAGTGTGAGTTTTATCAGGGAGGTGTTTTAGACCCTAGTTTTATGTAGTTTAAGCTTCTAACAACCACCCCCGTGGAACATTTATTATTTGCACAACAGATGTATTGCTGTCTGCTGCCTCGAGATCACTGGAGCGAAAAATATAGCAAGTTATAGCAAGCGAAGGATTTTTTTTTTTTAAGTCCAGATTCTATTTACCATTTTTCTACCATTACCAGCAGTGCGTTTCAAAATAAATAATGTGGGCATCATCCCATTAAATGTTATGACCAGTATTGAGGGCGTGTTATGTTACTACTGAAAGAGATTGAAAGCCTAATCAGAAGGCTTTTGTGCGCTCTTTAAAAAGAGCACACAATAAATAGGGCCAGTGCAATTCAAATTTCAAGGGATAGAGTTTTTATCGCCCACGACGGTTATCTAATATGTTCTAAATTGCCAAAACTCGAGAGCTTTCGGGCGCTCTGACTCCTGGATCCTTGGCGGGGCATTGTCCCTGAAACCCACCAGGGGCCCTAAGGCGGACCCTGGGACCCCATTAGGAAAAATAAAAGTAATTCCCAAGACAACCCGCTGTTGGATGGAATGTCTAATCTGAGTTTTGTTTGTGCACATTAATAAGAGCACACAATAGGAGCAGTGGAATTTAAATTTCAAGGGATGGTTAAGAGTTTGTATCGCTGACGTCGGCTATTCAGAATGTTCTGAATTGCCAGAGCTCGAGAGCTTCTGGGGGCTCTGACTCCTGGAAACTCTGGCGGGGAGGGGGAACTGTCCCTGCAACACACCAGGGGCCCTGTAGTGGATCCCTGAAGGTGTTTCATCAAGCCTTAAAATCTAAGGGCCTTGGTTTTTTAATATTTTTTTAATCGAAATCAATTCTAGTTGATGAGACACCCCCTAGATCCCATTAGTAAAGATAGAAGTGGTTCCCCAGACAACCAACTGTTTAGGAAAATTGTCCTTAGGTCATCTTGAAGGTTCTGAATTGCAAAAGATCGAGAGCGTTCTGAGGCTCCGCCCCGGAACCCCGGCAGGGACTATGCCAGACCCCAAAGAACATTGGGTGTTCTCTTTTTTTTTTAGGAAACTCTTTTTTTTAGGAAACTCTTTTTTAGACGAATGGAAGCACTGGTGGCTCTGTTTTATAAAACTGCAACAGTTCTCTTTGGATTAGATATAGACCTAAACCAATCCTCAATATTCTCAGTATAAAAGTGTCATTAAAGGTATTACAAAGTTTTGGGAAATGTCGAAAAATGGGTGGATAGTGATTCTTAACAATTTTGATAAATTTGGATGCCCCTGTGGATGTATTAAAAAACACCAGAAATTTTAGCCCCTTAAACAATTCTGCTTTCGAGAAAAATTGAATATAAAGATTTACCGGTGCTCCCGGTAAATTTTGATAAATTTCAAATAGCTCCTACGGCCGTATAATGGTAGCTGCGACCATGAAAATCTCAGAGTATGTAGTTGTGGTACATAATTTCCGAACGAGAATAGCTAATCGGTCGATTTTAGTCAATAAACATTGTTTTATAGCTTAATTAATATCTTGACATTGAGAGGGAGCTATTCAACATAAAATGTTTATTATTTACAATTCATGACCCCATACCAAAACTTTGTATTACCTTTAATGTAAAATTTAGGAGTAGATCGTCTAAGTCCGAAACAAATTTGAGCAATGTTTGTGTCGTGTCCGGCTTTCCAGCAATCATATTGTACATTGTTATTCTCAAGTTGTTTTTTTTTATGGTCAGTTTTTATTCTTTTCTCTCTTGAAACAAATTATAATCATAGTACAAATTACAATCATCATATGTAACGCTCACTGTAAATGTGATGACATTATAAATCAGTATAAATTTTTGTCTTACAAACGGCTTCCAAAGAAACTTACATAGTAAGTTCCTATACATCATATTTGAAACAAAAATTCATATTTTCAAAGAAAACATGTGCAGTTGTATAACCCAAAAATTTTGTTTTAACAATGTAGCAACTTATACTTCTTGTATACTGTTGTCCTGAGAGAAAAGCTTTCTCTTTTTGTTAACCCTACCCTACCCGACCTCTCCCTTATCCCCCTCCCCCCCCCCCCCTCTTAACCGGTGGACGACTGGCTCTGGGTTCCAATTGTTTGTCTAATACTCAGGTTTTCCCATTTAGAAAAATGAATAGTGAGAGTTCCCCTCATTGCTGCCAATTTCCTTTCTTCTACTTTATCCCCTATTATACTATTCTTTATTTCATTAAAAGAGGGTGGTTTTTTAAGTTCTCTATTTCTATAAATCAGATATTTAACAAGAATTAAAACATGAATCATTAATTGATATTTTCCTTTATTTCTCTCCTCTTTCCCATACAGAATTTCCTCCAAACTACAGTTATGTATTTCAAAGTCTACAAATCTCGTGCACATTCCCCACACTGATTGTGCAAATTCACAAGTATAGAATAAATGTTTATATGTTTCTTCATCTTTTTCGCAAAATGAGCATAAGTTAGTCGAGACAAGACCAAAACGGAAGAGGTGATGGTTTGTATATAATATATTATGTATAAGTTTGAACTGAAACTCTCTTAATCGACTGTTAAGTGTACACTGTCTTAGTCTTAAAAATATGTTTTCTATTTCCTTACAGGAAAAACCATAGTTCCTTCCAATTCTCTCAAAAACCAAAGGTTTAAAATCATCTTTCTTTATTAATCGTACATAAATTTGTTTTGATATTAGATCAGCTATATTAGTTGTTTTCTTCCCCAAAGTGAAATCAGTTCCAGAATTATTTTTTTCTTCTCCCTTTCTAAAATTATTTTTCCAACAAACTGGTAAACAGGCATAAAAGTGCTTGATCTTTTCAATTTCATTTACTTCAACACCTAAATCGATAAAATGCCTGTCACATTTTAGTTTACCTTCGTTTTCCAGAATATGTTTTAATTTGTAAATTCCTTTGTCATACAACCTCTTATCGTATATACAACTTCCTTTATATCGAATAAGTTTATTATTAAAAATTACCACATCACCAATGTCTATACTCCTTATATGTCTCGTATTCACCCAATCTTCTAATAAATCCATAAAAAATTGTGGAGCTGTCACTTTTAATAAACTTGGTATATAGTCACATGAAAATATCAAATCTCCACCCACGTGTTCAGTGACAAAGTTAAAATATTGTTTCCATTTCATGTCTTCATCTTTGTTTAGAAGTTTTTGAATCCACATAATTCGCTGCGATTTAACTTGAGCAGAAAAATTTAACATCTTTAACCCCCTTGCTTATAGTCTAAGAACATGGTGTTTCTATTGATTTTATCTGTTTTTCCTTTCCATATGAAATCAAAAGTTAATTCATCCAGTGAATCATAAACCCATTTTGGAACAGGAGTAAGTGACGCCCGATAAAGAACTTTAGAATATATGTGCACCTTCAATAGTTGAATCTTACCCATAAGTGTTAAATCCCTTTGCTTCCAAAGTTGAAGGATACGTATCCTTCAAGTTAAAGGATACGATCGACCATGAGAATTTTCGGGCGAATGGCATCCCCAAGTTTCGGACCTTAGAGCTTTTATAGAAGTCACGATATCTGGACCGTCAAAGAAAAAGTTTGAGAAACCCTGGTCTCGTAGGCCTACTTATATAATTTATACTGGGAATTTCGCTCAACAAGCTTAGCTTTTCTGAGATTCCCTATGGTTTGTTCTTGATAGATAAAGTTCTATGTTCTCGGAACTTTATTGATCGATCTCTATGAATCTTAAGATTAATCAATAATGTTTAAAGAAGATATAAACTCTATCTACTAGTAAGAAATCGTATTTTCTCACCCACTTCATGAAAAGAGGTAGGCCTACATAAAAAAAATTATTCTAACATTTTTGGAAACTTAACCCTTTTGGTGGACGAAATAAACGTCGGAGCAATTACCTAACATTTTTGGAAACTTAACCCTTTTGGTGGACGAAATAAACCCCGGAGCAATTACCACCGGAGAAAATATCGGCACACCTTTTTACACAAACTGCAGATCTCATAGTTTCTATTCTAAAATATAACGATGCCAATATTTTGACAGAATTGTCTCATGCATCTACAGTATAGGGAAGAGATATTGTCGGCACACCTTTGTAAACAAATTGCAAATCTCACAGTTTCTATTCTAAAAAAATGGCAATGCCAAAATCTTGGCTCAATTGTCTTATGCATCTATAGGGATTAGAAATTGGAGCAACTGTTTTTTAACCTAGACATTACGGTGGCTTCCTTTTCATAAAAACGAGACAGGTCAAGTTGTAGATATGTCATGGCTTTTTGGAAAGCTCCGAACAAAACAAACAAAAGCAAAAAAATCTGAAAAGACCGGCATACCTCCTATTCACCGTGGCATGATTTACTAGGATTTTGTTTTCAGAAATAGAAAAGAACTAATAAGTTTTTGTATTTTGAGGTTGAGTTTCCGACTGTCTAAATATTGAATATTACTTTATTCTTCTGTATATTCCGAGTGAGTAAACAATGAAAAGAAAGGTGGTGACTTTTGATAATTTGGACAATTTAAAACCCACCGGACAAAAGTGATTGTGCGACATTTTCTCCCGTGACGATTGCTCCGCGTCAATTCCCTACACGAAACAAATTCCTAACTTCAAACAGGAACCAACAATACACCTGCCGTCAACCCTACCCGATGCCAGAACCTTAATTCTAGTATGAAACCAAATTGCTATCCGATATCTTTCACGGGTAAAGAGTAAAGTTCAGAAAGTTTTGCATAATACATTTTTGGTTTCCTTTGAATCAATAAAAACTTACTTGCACAAAGACTGCATATCACATCATTTGAAAAGAAAACTAAACAAACTTTAAAAGAAACAATACAAAATGATAATAAAAACAACGACAACAATTACAAAAATAGCGATTCTATATGCATTCGTATTCAGTGGCAGAGATTATAAAAATGCAATTAAAATATTAATTGTCATTTTGAACTACTCACCGGATCAAAATCAATAGCCGAATAAGACGACGATGACGAATGGCAGGCGTCATCGCCCCACGGAATCGTATCCACCGAATTCAACGATGACCTCATTTCCATTCGAGTTTTGTTGTCGTCATCATCGCCATGATCACGAAGGGGCCTTGCGAGCAAGGTCCTAGCTTCCTCCATTCTGGTCGAAGAGCAAGGACGAGACTATTTGGAACGCTTTGACTTGTTGCTCGTAGAATGTAAACAGGTGACATTGAGAAAAGGGGCGCCCAACCGTGTCACAAAAGCAAAGGAAGGATAGAGGGAGAGGAAACGAAAGAAAGAAAGAGAGAGAGAGAGAGAGAGAGAAGAGAGAGAGAGAGAATGAGAGAGAAAGGGAGAGAGAGAATGAGAGAAAGAGAATGAGAGAGAGAAGGAGAGTGAGAGAGAGAGAAAGAGAAAATGAGAGGGAGAATTAGAGAGAAATAGAGTGAGAGAATGAGAGTGAGAGAGAGAGAGAGAGAGAGAAGAAAGAGAGAGTGAGATGATGAGAGAGAGAGAGAGAGAGATATGGAGAAGAGGGGGAGATGGAGGGAATAAGAGACTCAGGAGAAAGGGAAAAGCCACACCAATGGGTAGAAAGAAAAATAATAATCTAAGTGAGAAGTGAGGAAGAGAGAGGGAGGGAGAGAGAGATAGAGAGGGGCAAAAGGAGAGAATGAGAGAGAGAGAGGGGGGACAGAGAGAGATGGAAAAGAGGGGGCGGTGGACGGAATAAGAGGCTAAGAAGAAAAGGAAAGGCACATAAATGGGAAGAAAGACAATATTTATCTAAGTGAGTAGTGAGGAAGAGAGAGGGAGAGAGTAGTATAGAGGGAGAATGAGAGAGAATGAGAGTGCAAGTCAGAGAGACAGAGATATTTATTTATTCTATCTCATTTCAATTTATCCCTAGCTCTCTTCTTTCTTTCCTGGGAGATCATATATTATTTTGTATTCCAAATATCTTATTCGTTTAATAACAGTCGCCATGCATAGTCTGTAATGTTTTGATTAGTAAACAACCTTGGGTAAACATAAAGAATGTGTTGATTCGACTTATTTCGTGTCATAATTATTATCCAGCCAACTATGGTGGTGTGCAAAAATGCTTTTCAGTTTTTTTCGTCAAAACAGCTTGCACGAGAACAAGCAAAGAATTCGCCTCCCATACAAAAATGATGAATAATGATAAATTCCGCGGCACAAACAGCATTAGTGTGTTACTGAACTCTGAAAGACCCTATTCACTTTTGCTTGAATACAGGGCAAATCATCCTTTATGTTCATTTTGTCTCTTTCTCTCTCGTTTTTTTTCGTGACTTGTCACCAAAGTTTGCTATCGAATGAGAAGTAGTCAACCAAGAAATCCGTTCTTTCACGGTTGTAATTGAAAAGTTTGGGGAGATATGGAGATGTTTTCGAATCTTTAGTATTTCAACTAAAAAAGAATTATAGTTAGCTATGCACAGGAAAACACATATAATGTCGTCTATAGGTCATCATGTTGAGTTAGAACCCCCCGCTACTTGACAAATATGTATTGTATGTCATCCGCCTTTCCCGCCCCCGTCCCCATTTCCTATTTCTGAAGCTTAATGCAAACACTCAAAAAGTTAGCAGGGAGATGTCAAAAAGTACAGCCAACGAATGACCGTGTAAAGATTAATGCAACCGAGACACCAATGTATTGACGCATGACTGCGTCAGTGACTTGTTCGGTCTTTGACGTACCGTGTAAGAGTCATGAGACCTCATTGAAGTAGAGATAAACATGATGAATAATGAATGCATCTGGGAGATAAACTAAATTGCTCAGAAGAAATCTCCACCGACAAGAAATGAAGAAAAAAATATTAACACCATGTACATAAGTATGGATCCCATCTTATGCATTACTTTCAACAAATAAAAAAAATAAATATGTCCTGTACATGCCAAATTTTGTAGCAAAATATTTATTTAGATTTATTATGACTTGTGCTGGTAACAATGCTGTAGTCCAAGGACTAAGGGTGCTATATTTTTAATGTAAAAGTGACAAAATAGAAATATTGATAACAGATTGAAATTATTATCAAAAAATATATTTCAATTCAAATGTACATTTCAATAGAGTTTTTAGCAGATTTTAAATGAGTCAGCCTTTTATCAAATCAAAGTTCAAATACGTGAACACGATTAAACAAATAGTCGGCGGTAAAATCACATGTACTTGATAAATTACAATGTATATTGAACCAAGAAAAGCAAAAACATTTTGAATAATATTTTCACAGATAGGCCTATATATTGATGCGATAATACTAAAGAAACACAAAACAAAACCGGAACTATACATTTATCTATTACAGTTATAAAAGAAATATATTAATGACACAGTGTCCCATGAAAGGAAACAAATTAATGCACAACATATAGTTTACATAGTCGCTATATAATCTCAAATATTCTATAGTATATTAGGAAGACTTATGGATGCAGTTCATTCGCTAAAGTACCTTAATACACATACAATGTTATATATAGTACCAAAATATATGAATGTGTCCAAATTACGTTTTGAATCGATATCACTGAAAAGAAAACAAGACAAAGTAACATGGCAAACATAAAATCACGAAATCTTGTATTATTAGACTTTAATACCTAAAAACAAGTTATACTCTGTGCAATTCATAATATTTATTTACGTGACAGTGATAAACTCATGTGAGTACTGCAATAGGCAGTAACACAAATAGAGTGTCATAGAGTATCATTCGTTATGTTCTCTCATGAACATGCCTTTTTAAAAATAAAAATCCTATATTGAACCAACATCAACGTTTAAAGAAGAAATGACTTATGTGATTTATTACATATACGTGCCATGTGCCACGGTGCCAATATCACCACCACATTATAGTAGCCCATTCCCCGTAACAACCATAAAACAATAACATCACCACCACCTCCACCACCACCACCACCATTCGACACAACACCTCCACTGAACGCCATCAACGATGGTCACTCCAATAGCGTATGGTCACTTACCATGGATGACGGCATCACCGTAATAAATAAACACCATCAATAATAGCGCAATCATTGTAAGTACCATCAATAATAGCGCAACCATTGCAGGTATCACCAATAATAGCGCAACCATTGCAGGTACCATAAATAATGGCGCAACCATTGTAAGTAGCATCAATTATGGTGCAACCACTGACGGCAACACCATCCCTAAATTCACTAAGCAATTTGCTTCAAAACAAATAGAAATTTACATGGAGATTCGTAACACATAATAACTCAGCATTGCTAGAAAATGCATGGTTATAATTCAACGTTTATACAAATTTTCTTGGACACATTTTGAAAAGCTGTGAATCCTTTCATCAGTTTACATTTGTTTTTCCGTTGACTCTCTTTGGTAGATAATGACCAGGTTATATTATGGTCTTTGTTATTATTTTGTGTTTATCTATACAGGTAAAATTCCATGCATTACCAGCCCCCCTCTCTCTTTCTCTCTCTCTCTCTCTATCTCTCGCTCTCGCTCTCTTTCTCTCTGTCTTTCTCTCTATTCTCTCTCTCTCTCTCTCTCTCTCTCCCTTCTCTCTCCCTTTCTGTATATTTCCCTTTGCGGTATACTACCTGTCACATTAACAAATAACATGTCTGAGTAATACTGCACACATGGTGTATTTACCCAACGCCTTCATGGCAAACACTGCACGCGGGTAGATCATTGTCTGGACTCCACGGCCTTCAAAATGAGTATTACAGCAAAATAAGAGATCTGCTATTTATGTCAACAAACAATATTGAAAGGAATATCTTGCTACTGGCGTGATCATACAGTGCACGCGAACTACAACAAACACATTCTCTGGTGACTAATGTCTAGCTGTCTAAGTTTCTGCAATAGGCAAACTTCAACCCGTGCCGAGAGACTATTCCTAAAACTAATCCTGACCAAAAACCCATTGGAACCTCAACGTACAGTATAGTCTATCACTTGCATGTTCTCCAAAATGTACTAATAATAATCAAAATAATTTGGATTTGTATAGCGCTTTGTGAGAAATACTGTCTCTAAGTGCTTTACATATATTATATAATATTATTATTACCCTGATCATCGGATTCATTCACACACAATGTTAACCGTTTACACTCCCGACACGGCAATATGGTCACCGTGAAGGGCGCTTTGACTCAGGTCCTACCAGGTCCCCATTTCTCTCCTGTGTAAGAAGTGAAAATGTTGATTAATGCCTTGACAGAGGACATTATTGCCGTGTCGGGAATCGAACCCATAACTTTTGCATTTAAGTGCTGAAACCACTCGGCCACGACACCTCTAATAAAATATGTACCGAAGTGGAAATCCATGACATTATTAGGGACCATCTGGTCATCTGATTTTACCTGTTTATCTACTTGTGTATTTATCTCTTTTGTTTTTGCTGCTGTTATCTGTTTTATTCTTACCAAACAGGGCCTCATAGATGACCACCAAATTGGTAATATGTGCCTCATTATATACATAATATGTAATCCTCATTACTGTCAGTTATTTAAGGACGTAGGTCCCCTAGTTGATTAGCATAGTTGCACACACATGCTTTAGCAGTCGAAAATTACTCACAAATTATTATTTTCAATAAAATCTGAGAATGTATACTATTATCTATATCTATTAGGAATAAATCATTGTCAAAATCATTCCATAAATTGGGGTAAAAAAAATTATTCCACCATTATGACCAACAGTGTACATAACGTATTGTATTGAAACTTAAAACATACATATATATAATCATTGCTGGAGCAAATGTGGGATCCCTGACACGTCACCTCAGAAGACACCCTCGATCTTCTTCTCCTTGATCTTCATTTTCTTCATCATGACATCCAGCTTCCGATGCATTATCTCCATCCGATCTCCAAGGAATTCTTGCGCTGCCTGTAGACGGTCGGTACGGTCGTAGAGGCTACCCTGAGCTTCACGTATGTTGTTCAACTGGGTGTCTCTTTTCTTGGCTTCTTCGAGCATTTCAATGGTTGCTCGTCCGACCTTCAGGCTAACGTCCTTCATACGTTCTCGGATCTTCTCGTAGGGTTCATCTTGATGTGAGTCGATGCTAAGAGGATTCTGGAATATGATTCGTGAAGGATGAGTGATAAAATAATAAATTTCGAAGGTGAAAATCAAACTAAATGGTGCGATAATTCTTTATTTTAGCCAAATAGCATCACCGATATGCTCCGAGATCCAGGTGTCTGCCTACTCCGATGCCCTGTGTACAATTTCCTCTCTCTAATTCCATCTCACCACACTCCTTACATCCCCCTCTCTCTCTCTCTCTCTCTCTCCCTCTCTCTCTCTCTCTCTCCCCCCTACCCCTATCTATTTATCGATCTATCTCAATCGTTATTTCTCTCACTCTCTCCTCCGTCTTTATCCCTTTTTCTCTTCTCTCTGCTTCTCCTTCCTTCCCTGTCTGTTTTAGCCCTTGTGTATTCCGCCATTATTCATACCCACCTCTGCATCCGTGCTGATCAACAGCGCCCTCTTGAGTTGCTTTCTGCCACCCGTCAGCCGTCGAAGCCATTTCTTGAGTTTAATCTCGTTCGACGATAGGAACTTCTTCCTTCGAACGATAGACCTTCTCCATATCCACAGAGAGAATTTTGACTGATTCTCCAACACCATGTTCGCCTTGAAAAAGGGATAAGAGAGACATTTTACTTTTGTCTTTCAAATTAAAGCAAGATACACATTTTGGACATCAATGAAACAGGGCATTTGTCGTTCTGCTTGACTGACAAAATGTAATGTCCCCAATCACCGGTGACCAAGTTTACCTCTATATAGATTTGTACATATTGAGTTTGATCGATTGCAGAGATTATTTTTCACATAGTGAACAAAATATCTTTTGCCTTAGACTCATCGAAATTGAGGGAACTGGCGTAGTCATTGTTTCTCATGCGGTTTATTTAGTGCTTGGGCCAGCAAAGTATTCGTATAAGGAAAGTTCTTGAAAAGCGCGACTCAAATTAGGTTGTGCCAGGCATTTGATCGGGGATACTAGCTAGGCTCACTATTTTTCTTTGTTCATTACTAAAATATCATACATTTTCTATCAAAACATCGGCAGTTATCGTATTTTACAACTTGAAGAGAACTCAAGATTTATTGTCATAATTATGCGTTATGCGGTTTCTGTTGGTACTGGGAGTTAGGTTACATATAATACAAAGCAGTGAGTAGTAATTTTACTAATGCCCGAACAAAATAACTTGTTTTTTGTTTTATACTATTGACCGGTCATTAGTAGAATTACGTGTTAGGCAAAATAAATGTCTGGTCACGTGTATGCTTTCAACCAATCATTTGATTAGGATCCTCTTCATCATTTTATAACAGAGGATAACCCGTATTGAACATACCTGCATAGTAAGACGATGAAGATTGGCCTTTTCTTGGATTGCCTGGATATCATCTACAGCTAAACCAACCTGAAGGAGGAGGAGGAGGAAGGATGATAATAATAATAACAATAAAACGATGCTTATAAAGCGCTTTCCACTGGAGTCTCTTAGCGCTATAACAAACAAATTACGATGACAAACAATTATATTTTAAACAAAAAACTTCAAATAAACCTACAAAGTACAATTCATATCAAACATACATCGATGTGAACAGAGTAAGTTAATCATCAAAAGTAATTTTGAATAAATGTGTCTTAAGACAAGCTTTGAATTGGTTGATAGTCTGACAACTTTTGACATGTAAAGGTAGTTTGTTTTAAAGTTCAGCAGAAGCTCTGCAAAAAGAGCGATGTCCATAAGAAAGAGTTGACTCCGAAGTAGACAGGAGGTTTAATCGTGAAGATGAAAAAATATTGCGTGAGGGTTTGTATTCCTGGATTAGTTCTTAGATTAGGTGGAGGAGGTTGGGGAGGAGGTAGAGGACGGGGACGATAATTATAGACTGAATGAACGGTATGCTTAATCGATATTTGGCTAATTGCGTGCAAAACTTCATCTTCATATAATCTCATTAAAGCTTAGCCGTCAAATTACAAATAGCTGATGATGATGATGATGATGACGATGATGATGATGATGATGATAATGATGATGATGATGATGATGATAATGGTGATGATGATGATGTTGGTGATCATCAACATCATCATCATGATCACGGTGAAAGTGATGCCATATCTATGTTGACACTTAAAGACCGTATACATGGTACATGTATATGCACGGCCATTGACGTCCATCTTCTGCTGTAATCAGGGGCGGATCCACGTAGCGATTATTCCGGCCCGCCCCCCCCCCCCCCCCCTAGCCCCCAAAACGATAAAACAATAGGATAATAATGTAAAGTTAACCTTTATAAAACAAAAACAAAAGCGCCCCCCCCCCCCGCTTATTCGCCGGCCGACTGAGTCGGCACTAAATTTTGTTTTAAGATTTGGCTACCCCCCCCCCCTTGACGCCGTCTGGATCCACGGGGGGGGGGGGGCTGACGGGTCAACAAAAAAGAATTAAAAAAACAAAAATTCTCACGAATTAGATGAAAAAACAAAAATAGTGGTCTCACCCCCCCCCCCCCCCCCCGCTTGTTCACCGGCTGACTGAGTCGGCGCAAAATATTTCCTGAAAAATTGGACCAAAAAAAAGTGCCTCCTCCCCCCCCCCCCCCCCCCCCCCCCCCCCCCCGCTTATTCACCGGTGGCTGAGTCACAACTAATATTTTCTCACGGATTGGGCCCCCTCTTCCCGCCGGCTGGATCCGCCACTGGCTGTAATAGGTGAGTTTAAAAAGCAAAATCTAAACTAACTTCACACAAGTTTAGCGTTGTTTCACATTATCTTACCAGCATATTCATCATGAGAATGGACATAACGATGAGGAAGAGGATGAAGAAGAGTTGAGTGATCGTTCCATAGAAAGATGAATTCATAAAATAGGCTGCCTCTCCATCTGCCTCGAGAGTATTGGATGTCCCTAGGTAATCTTGAGCGAAGAAGATATCAGCATAATCCAGCTCACCGATCATCATTACAAACGTCTTGGCCAGGGAATCGAACAGAGAGTGAAATGGATTCTGGAAGGAAAAGACAAATTAAAATTTTAACAAAGACTCAAATTGTCATTATTTCATTATACTAACATTTGGTAATCCAAAAGCCTCTTACCTTTTCCCTGATTGATTTTGTTTTGGTTGCTTGTTGGAAGCGTTTCTATAGCTGGATTATTGGAAGAGTTTGCTTGACACCACCCTATCCTTTACGAAACCGTCAAGTGACTTCCGTTTTCAAGCATAATTATATATTGTTTTCATAGCAGAAAATAATATTCAAGTATGACACAATTTAAAACAAAACATATAGCGATCTAAAATTAGTGAAAACGTTTTTGAATTTGTGCGCTTAAATTGAACTCGTGTCGGGATATAAAAGCAGATTTGAAACATCACAATATAAAAAAGTAGGAAACAGAGTTTGTAGCAGAAACAAAATGTGGCACAAAATGTAAAACGGATGATGATATCCTAATGGATTATCAAATTATAGATGTTCATCGTTGCTTTAATGAATATGAATACCAGCACGAAATAAATAGAAACCAGAAACAGAGAGACAGAAAGTCACTACAACTGGAACAAAGTAACAAAGTATGATATTTAACTTGGACGTTATGATTTCTCCTTACCTGATTCATGAGAAGTGCGTAGAATGCCAAACCAAACGCCATGACGAATAAGAACAGGATTAAACTGAATCGAAGGAAAGTCTTGAAGATGTCTAGAAAAATGATGAGGGAGAAAGTTGAAGTAATTAGCTGATAAAATGTAGATAGCTTAATGACCTACCCATGCATACTATTGTATGTCATGGTTATGAACCAAATGCATACTTGAAACAAAATGTCTGTGTGTGAGGGGGAGGGGGGGGGGTGGTGCACAACTCACCTATAAACATGATGACATAGATGCCAAGCTTCGAATTACTCCTGATAAACAGCAGCAGGTTGATCCAGCCTAAGAAGCCAGCTGCAGCGCCAATCGGCCATTGCCAGTCCTGTCCGAGGGTGGGCGAATAAGCAATACCAGATAAAATTCAACAATAAAGTAATCGAAAAGGCTTACAAAACAACAGGCAAGCAGACAAACAAATCCACTTTGCCCACAGTCTAGCTTGTTTCTCGCAAATTATAAATGTGCGAGTATTACGATTACAATCGTGTGTTAACATAATAATGATAAATAATTATCAATCTTGATTAATTTAGCGTCTCTATGCGCTTCATATATATTATTATTACCCCGGTCATCAGATTCGTTCACGCACAATGTGCACCATCTCCACTCTCTGGGGAGTATTCCTACCATTATGGTCACTGTGAGGGCATATGGCAATTACTATCACAAATGCTTTCAACATTCTACCAGGTCCTCATTTCATTCTACAAATTCTAATTTATAGTATTTATTTTTATTTATGTCTATGTCATTGTGTTTCAGAGGCCATTCTTTTTTCCAAAATGCACTATTCATTTCATGCTTTGACAATACATTTTGTTTGATTATATTTAGGGATACGATACGATAAATTAATTGAATAGAATACCTATCGTTCAGAAAAAATGCCTAAAATCTAGTTACGTCATTAAAAATATTCTATATAATTTTATTATATTGCAAGATATGTCACTACTTTGCGGTTCACCTGTTTGATATTACCGTGCTTCACGTATTCAACCGTGCTGAAAGGCAGAGAAAATATGATGGCGAAGAGATAGAGGAACAATTCCATGATATTTCCGAAGTCCTGAAAATAAGATATCCGCTGAACGAACATCTGAGTAAACTGTGAAAATAAAACACGCACAGCTTGTGGTAAAGATAAAAGACAACAACAACAACAACAACTACTACTACTACTACTACTACTTCTACTACTACTACTACTACTACTACTTCTTCTACTACTACTACTACTAATAATGTTACTACTAATACTACTACTACTACTACTACCACTACTACGTACTACCACTACTACCTACTACTACTACTACTACTACTACTACTACTACTACTACTACTACTTCTACCACCACTACTATTACTACTTCTACTACTAATACTACCACTACTACTACTACTGCTGATACTACTACTACTACTACTACTACTACTACTATTACTACTACTACTACTTCTTCTACTACTACTACTACTACTACTACTACTACTAATGTTACTACTAATAATACTACTACTACTACCACCACCACTACTACTACTACTACTACTACCACTACTACTACTACTACTACTACTACTACTACTACTACTACTACTACTACTACTACCACCACTACTATTACTACTTCTACTACTAATAGTACCACTACTACTGCTGATACTACTACTACTACTACTACTACTACTACTACTACTACTATTACTACTACTACTACTACTTCTTCTACTACTACTACTACTACTAATGTTACTACTAATAATACTACTACTACTACCACCACTACTACTACTACTACTACCACTACTACTACTACTACTACTACTACTACTACTACTACTACCACCACTACTATTACTACTTCTACTACTAATAGTACCACTACTACTGCTGAGACTACTACTACTACTACTACTACTACTACTACTTCTACTACTACTACTACTACTACTACTACTACTACTACTACTACTACTACTACTACTACTACTACTACTACTACTACTACTACTACTACTGATACTACTACTGATACTACTACTACTACTACTGATACTACTACTACTACTAATGATAATAATAACAATATTAATGATGCTGATTATATTATCATAAAAAGATGATGAAAACTAATAATGATAATAGTTATAATATTAGTTACATCGTCACCATCATAATATTATACAAAATAATGAAATTAATCATGTCGCGTCTTTCTTGACCCTACCTCTCTTAAAATGTTCAAAAGGGACAATATCATGATCGCGGTAGGTCCAACGACGTCGAATAAGACCAGGACCGCATCTGGCACGGACTTCACCCATCGTACTTCCCCGCTTGCAAACCACGTAATGGTGGGTGGATTGGTGGTTTTGTTGACTGCACGTACATAGTAATTCGGCGGAATCACGACGATGTATCCGGTCAGCATCGCAAGGAACGTGATGTAGACGAAGAAACCCACGTAGAAGATGTAACGACCGATGGAGTTCCATTTGTGCTGGATGAAAGTCGTCACGAGTGGGTGGTCCAGTAGATCGACACGTTTGGAAGAAACCTACAAAACAAAGAAAGAAACAAAGCAAAAACATCGTCATAGGAGCGCGGAACCCAGCTGGAGACCAGGGCACATACGAGGCATTTAAAAACCGTACATAAAAATTAAAATTATTAGCTGGACATAATCATCTTAAAGCAATATGGTCAACACCTAAACATTCATTGTGTAGTTTTTCCAAATACATTTAGATAAATAGTGAAACTAGCACATAGCTTACATCAAAACTGTATTTTCTCACGATGCATATACCCAGTAATTCGGTTCTTGAGATGTTGTCTTTTTTTCTTCTTCAACTATCATCTATCAAATCTTTTCCACGCTTAATTGAAAAGTGAGCATTTGCATCTCAAGATAATCGGGAGTAAGATCGGGAATTTAGATAAGCTAGGAGGGACAAACGTACATTTATGTTTACCCCACGCAATTCCGATTTTCCCAAAGTTTAATTGAAATTCGTTCGTTTGCTTGTTGTTTTTAATTTTTGCTTTTGTTTGGGTCTCCATTGTACAGTATATAGATTGCGATGGGGGAGGCTGCCTTTGCCTTCCCCTGTAAGCCCCTGTTATTAGGAGTAATAGAGTAATAGAGGAAGCGCGATAGCTCAGTCGGTAGAGCAGTGGTCTCGTAATCCGGTGACCCGGGTTCAAAAACCAAGGCGATGCGCTAGTGCCCTTTGGTAAGACATTAATCCTCATTACCAGGTCCCTCGGAGAGGACCTAAAGCCGCCGGCCGTCTGGTTGCTCACTTACAAGCATTTATGCTTTCTTAGCAGTCAGGTAAAATATCCACCACCACAGATTGATAATCTTACCATCAGTTTCAAAGGATGGTTTTCATTTCTCTCCTGGCAGTCCGCGATGAAAGGTTGAGCTGATTTGAACAAGCGATCTTGCTTATCGTACTGGTGGTCGATGTCGGACGGTAGTCGAGTCGACACCCTCCTGTACATCCGATTCAAGAAAGTGTTTATTACTCCCTCGTGAGGGGGTAAATCTTCATCTGGAGCACGATGACCGTGATGATGACCACAAGGGAGGTGATGGTTAAGATGGTGGTGTTGGTAGTGATAATGATGATGATGATGATGATGATGACGGCGATGGTGAGGATGGTGAAGAGGAGGATTAGAAGAATGAGGATGTTGAGTACAGCGAAGACGACGGGCAAGACAGAGAAGATTATGACAATAAGTTATGATGGTAACGGCGACGAGGATAATGATGTCGCCGACGATGGCAATGATGATATATATTTTTAAAGATTACGACGACGACAACGGAGCAGGTGAAGACAGGGGTCACGATGAAGACAATGACGATGGTAATGATCATTATAATGACGACAAGGATCATTATGATGATGATAAGAAGTAAAGAAAGAGAACGGTTGTAATGTTAATAAACACTACTAAGTGCTTTATGGCAATCAATGTAATAATTAGTAAACTTTACATTCGAAGAGTGGTCATGGTCCTTTCATGTATTCTGGCTCAGTGTCCTAATTATACATGTATTGAGTGGTGTACATGTGCACTACAATGCTGAAATCTACTCTGAAATACTGAATAGGATAGGGAGCGCTGCGAAAAGTTTTGCACTGTCTAAAACTCTTCCCACTACACCCAGTACAAGTTTTTGATCAATTATTATTATTACTATCGTGATTTATAAAATATAAATAATATATAGTAATTGATTTTAAAAAGCTACACATGAGTAATGATAAGTATTACCAATACTGTTTGAATGAATGATTGTAACAAATAAAATATAATGTTATGTAATGGTGCTCATGTGTATGTAAACATGCACAATTCAGCATTTTGGATGCGTGGCATTGTTTTTTAATAAAACCATTATTGAATTTAATTGAATCAATTGAATTGAAAACGTTTAAATTACACCACTTACCACGAAGGTTCACTTGTACAGTCAAAACTTTTTTGAGGATACCAAAGCATATCTAAAGGACTCAATATTGCACCCTTAAGCCTTGAAGAAATTCTTATGATTTCGAGTTGAATATTGAATGTATATGCAAAACACACAAGAGGTTGGGTATCAAATGCCGATGTGTATTACCATAGAATAGGGCAACATACCTGTCGGTTTCATCCAGGGTGAGAACGCGTCTTCTAAGAGCTCGTAGTAGAATTCCACACGGACGTCTTTATCCCGAATACTTGTTCCGCCCGTAACGGTTATACACCGGTCCAGTATCATTTTGGCTACGTCTAGACGGTATAAGAAAGAAACGCTTTGATTGGTTAAATTCCTTTGACAGCATGAGGCGATACGGCATGCGATTGGTTGAAAGTCATAGCGGACGAAGCCGTTATCACGGAGTGCTTATCTCATTGGTCGAAACTTACCTGGCATAGAGCGAATGAGTTTTCGCATCGGCGTTGTGCGGTAGCTAGTCTCCTCATCCAGACTCGATACCGACATCACTTCTAACCATCTGTTATGTGTTATGATCATCCTAGCGATCGTCCTGAAAATGATTGGAAAAAAAAAGAGCGTGACAAAATGGAAAACGGTGGTCATGATATAATGTTTCTTTGGAAACTAACAATTCTGAATTTGCTGTTATAACTATCTTACAATCTTGCTTAGTGTCATAGACATAATTATATGGCTGTTTCAGAAGATCACTGTGAGATTGAAAAAAAGGGACCTCTCTCTCTCGATCTCCCTTCCTCTCTCTCTCTCTCTCTCTAAGATATAACCCTACTTGATAGTGAATGTTAATCATTATAAATGTATCGAAATTAGATATTCTACGGCGGAAATTTAACGTATTAAATTTGTTCAAACTAGTTTTGATTTGCGATATGACGACTAAATAACGATAGGCCCTATGACTTTAACATAAACTTGAATAGAAAGCACTCTTTCGTGTGTCATAATTTTAAATACACAGACAACATGCAGGAATAGAGACCCTACGCTCTAAATAATAGTTCAGGTTGCGACGAGTAATCTTTGCTGTGATATTGGACGACAAAATAGAAAGAATAAAAAGGGCCCGGATAATGACATGTTGGTGAAGCTTTAGGGCAGAAATTAAAACAAAAATGAATATTCAAAATCCTACCCCTAAAATGACAAAATATTGGCATTGCCATGTCGTAATCTTGGTCATTATCAGTAATTGATACCACTTAAATCCCAACTGTACTAGCTTGGCCAGGAGTGATTAGACCCCCCCCCCCCCCCCTGCATGGTCACTAACAGGTGGTTATCTCATCAAATCAGCTCTCAATTAACATAAGTAAAGGGGGGTCATGGGGACCAATGGTCACCGATTAGGCATTGTTTGCTATATAGAGGGCGCAAGTAGCTATAAGTAGTGCAGTTGCGCTTAAACATGATCAACTAAATAAAGGGCAATCACACTATCTGATGTCACGTTCGCACTTGTCAGTAGATGACGCAAAAGGCTATTGAATTGTCTCAGGCTGATTTTTCGAAAGAACTTTCGTTCGTGTTCTTATAATACATGTAGTAGTTATAAGATTTGTATACTTTTCTTTGTTTATTCCTTTTGTATGTTTATATTTCTCGTAATTCATGCTTGTACAGCGCACAGAGAAACCTTTGTTTATCATGCGCTTTATAAATATTGTATTATTATTATTATTATTATAATGAACTTGTTTTTTCTTACTCGCGTCCATTGTCGATTGCGTGATCGAGGCAGTTCAGTCCCTTGGCGTCCTGTACTGTGACGTCAGCAGGTTTGAAGACATCGCCAGCTCCCTTGCCATAGAGCAGTAGATCTACCATGCTCGCATTACCTTCTTTACATGCATGGTGAAGGGGTGTCATCTGGGTTACCAAGGGGGTATCAAGAGATATGGGAAGGGGTTAGCATGTAAATAGTGTCTTCAGTTCAGTTGTCTTTTGACTAGTGTCTCTTTTAGCGATTAATATATTGCTGAATCAAGGCAAAATTCGCCAGCTACCTTGCCATAGATTAATAAGCCTACAATGCTTGTATTGTAATAGTATAGTACCAAACATTCTTGCCAAAGACTGGGAACCAGACTCGACTAGCAGTTGGGCTAACTTCTGGTACTCATAACCTTGTCTTTCATTTTTATATAACATACTTTGTAAAAAAAATGTTCATCTTATTTATGTGTAATTCTTATTTATATTGTGTTATATTGATATATTTTATGCAATCATGATTGATATATTACATTTTACTTGTTCTTATTGTTTTTGTTAATAAACCCAAACTCAAACTCAAATCTCAAACTCAATTGCCTCCTTTCAAGCATACATGGTGGAGGGTTTCATCTGGAAGAAAAAGTGACATTGGAAGGGGCATGTCATGGATGAACTTGCATCATTTCATTTATTGTTTAACCATCAGATGACGAGTGTCTATTTTAGTGATTAATTACAATTGTCGCCAGATCATTGTGTCATGCAATCCAAACTAGATTATTGATTTCATACCGATTGGCTGTCCGTCTGCTCAATATCTGCTTGTGCATCAAGTAAAACACGGGCTGTTCTAGTCCATCCACGGTCAGCTACGTAATGGAGAGGTGATAGGCCACCTAGATCTTCACCATTCCTAAGTAAATCAAAGATGTCACAACATAAAATACAAACTGAAGAAGAAGAAGAACTGAAAAATATCTATCCCACCCGGACCCCTACAATAATGAGGAATACACTCCTGTTCCCGACCTAAGACCCCCCCCCCCCTCCCCACGTCTACCGTCCATCTGACATGTCATAGTGAATGGCATGTGTTAGTAACAGTATGCTTTTGATAATGGTCCTCATTTAATGTTGAAGTCCAGGTGACAATTTAGTTGTGAACTTTGCATTTTCTAATATTCGTTTCTAAATCTAGGAGAAGGGCAGCAAACAACACCACGATGTGTCGAAATCGTCTTGATGTTCTCTTGTTTAACCTGAAGCTGTCACATAAGATATATCTTTAGAAGAAGCAATAATAATAATAATTTTTAATGAAAATCTCACGTGGCATTAACTTGGGCCTTGGCTTGAATCAGTTCCTGCGCGATATCTTGATGCCCGCCCTCAGCGGCGTGATGAAGGGGTGTGTTTCCGAGCTTGTCTCGATGATCCACAACAGCCCTGTTCCAGCGAACTAATACATGAACCGTCCTGTAGCAAGACACAGAAGAATATGATTACAGTTAGCTAAGGTTTGGAAATATACCTTGGAAGTAGGCATTTAAAGTTTAAAACTGATTTGCCTCTCGTTGACATTTGGATAAAGAATCCATATTGGGACACATGTTCAACTAGTATACGAAAAAAATTAACGATTTATGTTGATCTGATGGTAACGTTAGGTTAAAGTAACGTTAGGTTCTTGTAGTGAAAAACAAATAAAGCTTCTCAATGTATATCAAAAGAACTCCAAAATCCAAACCGCTTTTTTTTTACATTTTGTCCATGATTTACAGTGAATTCCAGTGTTTATATATCTGATAAAAACTTAACATATCTTTTCTTGTTTTGTTTTCGCCATTGATTGGGAATGCGGACACTGTCATAATTAAGATTAAGTGAAGATTCACAGGTAATTGCAATTTTGTACAAGGAGACAATTATCATGATTATTACGATGTTCTTCAGCTTACAAAATACATTTGATTGAACTTACTCTTTATGCTTCATCTTGACGGCATCCATGATGAAGTCCATTATCCCATCATCAGTCATCTCATGGAAACGAAACTCATAATCTAGGATCTGAAGAAAAACAAAGTAATGCAAATCGTCCACTTTAGAATAGAAGGCTGACGGGGGAATATTGTAGTCGTGAGCGTTTTTATCAAATTCCACTCTAAAAAATATTGTTCGAGTGATGGAAATGTGCCAACACGAACATGATCATGTGGTTTATGTTTCGTATATTTTATATTTTTATATGTCACCTTTCTGAGTATATCCGCTTTGTTGTTTGCAGCCGACCATTGAAGGATATGTGTAGCCTCGTCAGATTGGCCACCCGAAGCAGCTGAGATGTACTGCAGTAGCGACATCAAGGTTTCGAAGCTTCCGTTGTTCACAGCAACCTGTAAAGGGTTCAAGTCAGCGCTATCTGCGACGATTGCAGCTCCACTGGAAGAAGAAAACAAATTGAATTTCCAAAAAAAATTACTACCATCCATAGTTGACATCAACAATCCCGACGTATTCAATTCTCATGTGCAACAGCATTTTCAATAGTATTTTAATTTATTATTTCATACCCACACCCAGTCCAACTCTTTTTATTCCATTAGGAGTGTTAAGTCGTATTGTTTTCAGATACAGATTCAGATACTCTTTAACGGAGAGTTCAGTAAGTTCTTAACGTACAAAGGTGGTGACTCTCCTGCTCTTAGGCATCAGTTTAACGTCCTGTCCGAGGGACGTATATAGATAGATAGATAGATAGATTCTGTTATTGATCCATATTCAAAATATAGCAAATTGGCCTCCACTGGCAGCACATCAACAAAATACAATGTAGTTTCAAAATAACTGATAAACTCTTAGGTGTATACGTCACAAAATGTACATAAACTCACACGAGAGTCATGCATGACATTTAAAAAAAAAATGGATTACGGCAAGGAATAAAATACTCACTTTTCAACGAGGCACAGTGCGATACTCTCGTGGTTCTTTTCGCATGCCAGGTGCAGCGGGGTCTGCCCGTCAAAGTTGACCAGGTTGACCACGGCTCCGTTGGCGATGAGAGCCTCGACGATGTCCTGATACCCGGCCGCAGCGGCTACGTGAAGGACAGCGTCGTCGTTGTCTCGACCGGCGAAGTTCATCAGCTTCATCATGTCCACCTCGCTCGTTCGCTTGGAAACTGATATCGAGAGTTTAAATTTATAAATATTTAATACCATGATTACTCAAAAGTATCGGGTATTTATATAAACTTTTAAAAATTTGTTTTGTCTGTCTAATTTGAGGACATGTTTGATCGCCTATTGTGAAAAAGTCATATAGACACTGGTCTAGGTGTAAATCACTTCCTCGAACTAAAGTTTACCCCAAAGAAATTGCTTGGTCATAGATCATAGATTATGGTACCCTCCCCCCCCTCTCCCGATGCAACATAGATCATTTGACCTTATGGTAACATGCAATCATGGTAATTGAGGCGATTTATTTCTTAATATTCCGTAAATTAAACTTCAGCTTAATCACTATCAAATTCGTCACAATTAAGATTTAAATATTCAAGTACATATGTATTTGCATAAAATTCATTAATACATTCTACTACATCAAAATCCATTTACAATATAACACGTCAGAAGCTAGACATGAATATTCAAATAAAATGTGCATATCATATTTGTAACAAAGTAGTCGAGAGGCGGCTCACCATGGTCGAGACAGACTTGGAAGAGATCCCTGTGCCCACACTTCACCGCATCGTATAGAGGGATCACACCTCGGGAATTCTCGTTCAGCATTACCTGTTGAAAACCAAAGACATGTATGACGTCACAATGATATCTTTAGCGTTAGTTTGACTTCATTTCGTGACATTGCGGCTTGAATTCCTATCCTAGACTGGTCATCGAGGAAGAATTCGTTTAATAAAATGGTAGGGGTATGTGGACTTGGCTTCGAACCCCGAGACCTCCTGGTTACCAACGCACTGCTAAACCACTGAGCCATATTCTTGTGCATAATTATATTAAAGGAAGGACCCATGATGTCATTTTAGGATCCATTGTGATACATTTAATAAGCAAGAGAGAGGAAAAGTGTGTGTGTGAGAGAGAGAGAGAGAGAGAAAGAGAGGGAGAGACCCAGGAGAATAGTAACGTCTGTAAAATTATCATGAATTGACGCCCTTCTGGCTCTCGACATCTTAAGTTAGTATAAATGATTTTTTTTTTTTAAATCACAAACAACAATATTCACCTCGTTGATGTCCCCTTTGCTCTCCGCCATTTCTATCAATGATGTGACGATCAGAGTGTGTGAATGCCTTACTGCTAGATGAAGGGGTGTATCTCCATTTATATCAGAGATGAGAATATCTGCCCCTTTGTCGATGAGGACCAAAGCGCCATCCGTGTTACCAGCTTTGCAGGCTATGAGGAGCGGTGTCGCACCTCGTCTGTCCTGGGCCTTCGGTCATGACCGGTGTGGGGAAAGGGTGAGAGAATGAAGTCGTAAGATAATATTTATTTTCGTTGTGTTTCAGTGATACATCTCAGTCGTAGATGACAAAATTTGACCATCGACCTAATGTGATCCTTTCTTTTCGAAGGTCAATTTTATAGAAGCAGTGACTTGCCTGATTACGGTAGTGGGACACACGCCCATGTTAAATACCGTGAACTAACAGGAGTGATTTATATAAGACACAACAATAAAGGTACAATATACATATTTAGCCTAATGTTTCAAATATCAATCGGACCACTTACATTGATATCAACTCCAGGTGCGGTATGGAGTCGCTTGAAGGCATCCATGTTGGCGTGCATGGAGGCGAGATGAAGAGGCGTCGTCCCCTTCGTATCTGTGGCGCTCGCGTCGGCACCTGCCGCGAGCAAGATATCAACAATGTTCTCGTCATCGTTATGCTCCTCGCCATCGTCGTCCTCGTCGTGTCCCTCGTCGTGTTTTTCGTTGTTCGGGTTCTCGTCCCTCTCAGCTAGCGACGGGACCACGGACCTGGGACTGGGAGGCTAGATATAGAGGATGCAGAGAATAGCTCCTTTAACTTTGTTGATAGCAGTTAAGTACATCTTTATCATGTGAATGTGTCTTGCTTATAATAATACTCATGATGATAAAAACTACCGATTTTTGTGTTTAATTGTGATAGATATTAAATGAAAGAGAAGTGATAATATCTATTTAGTGTAAACACTATCAGTAAACCAGCCAAGACACGAAGTTGTTTACTTTGTACGGCATGTTGGGATATTGCGTGACACCCATGCTAAAGATTTTACAAAAATACTAAAGAATAACAAAGAAAGCATGTCCCATGGTTCAAATCAAATTTCCTCAATTGTTTCAGGCGGTATTGGTGGTCTGCAATACGATTTGTATGTGAGGCTACATACAAATAGCTTCACATTGTCGTTTATTGTGATAAAAATAATCAAATGGAGACGATGAACAAATAAGAAAAATAACACCCCATCGCTTAGCGTGAGAATGTGCACTTCTATTCCCTCTACTAAACCATTCGAACAATAGAATCAATCAAGTGAAATCAACTGTAAAACTAATTAGGTTCCATCACACATGCTCCGCCGACGATTGCTCCGCCGACATTTACTCCGCAAAACACGACAATTGCTCCGCGACAGTTGCTCCGCCGACAGTTGCTCCGCCGACATGTGCTCCGCCGACAATTGCTCCGGTGACAATTGCTCCGCCGACATGTGCTCCGCCGACTATTGCTCCGCCGACAATTGCTCCGCCGACATTTGCTCCGCCGACAATTGCTCCGCCGACAATTGCTCCGCAAAACGCGACAATTGCTCCGGTGACAAATGCTCCTCGAACGACAGTTGCTCCGCCGACAGTTGCTCCGCCGACAATTGCTCCGCCGACAATTTCTCCGCCAAACGCGACAATTTCTCCGGTGACATTTGCTCCGCCGACAATTGTTCCGCCGACATTTGCTCCGCCTGAAGCGACACTTGCTCCGGTGACATTTGCTCCGCCGACAATTGCTCCGCCGACATTTGCTCCGCTAAAAAAGTGCCCCGTAAAATACAAAGGCTACTACGACAATAATTGTTGCTCCTCCCCAAAAGTACCCCGCAAAAGACAATGCTCCGCCGACAATTAAATTGCTCTCTGATCCAAAAGTGCGGCCTCGTGGAAGACATGAATGCTCCTCTGGCAATTAGTGCAATAAATGCTCAGCCGTTTTTTGCTATTCCCCATAATGTTTGATTTAAAAAAACATCAAGTTTTAGCTCCTTATGCAAGTTCTCCAGCGAAAGATAATTACTCCGCTCAAAATCTGTTTCATTTATTACTCATTAGCCGATCCAAAGCTCAAGGATATCTCTCTCTCTCTCTCTCTCTCTCTCTTGCTCTTCCTTTTCCTTTTTACACCCTTTTCTTTTCTTCTTAGCTCTTTTCTTTCCTCTCATGCTATTAGTCTTCTTTCATTTTCATCACTTCTTCTTTTCTTCCCCTCTCGAGTTCTAGTTCTCTCGTGAAATTGTAACGTAATGTAGTACATGTAGTACATTCTTGTTTAGAATAGTATTTTCAATAATATCCAGTCCGTCTTCTGTAGGTTTCTTTCCTTCAGTTAAGTGTATGTAGCTTTACTATATATATATATATATTTTTTTTATCTCTTTAACCTCAATCAGAGGAACTTTATTATTCAAATTGACATTCCTTTTTGTTTCTTTTCCTTCAAATAAACAAATTCAACTCATATACAATCATAAACAAATAAAATATTGCAACGTCCCATTAGTTTGTTCATGAGTACATCTGTTTTCGTTGTCTACAGCATCTCAATTAATTTCTGTACCATATTGTTATTTTCTCTTTTAATACTTTTACAGTTCAAATAAAATGTCAACTCATATTTAAGACTACGATATAGAGTTCTCGCATGTGTTCTATTAAATGATTGTAAATTCTTTATGTGGTTTCTATATATTACATACTCAGCAAAATTTATTATTAAATTTACTAAATGACAAATTGAGTTTTCAACTTCATAACCAAGTATTAAAATCTGTTCAGTCATCTGAATATTTAGACCACATAAATTGAAGATTACACCTGAAACAATTCTCCAAAACAATCTTACGTTTTCACACTCCAACATCATATGCTTAGTGGTTTCTAGCGTATTACATATCTCACATGTATTATAATCTAAGATCTTCCATTTGCATAAATTGTATCGTGATGGTAAAATCATATGCAAAAGTTTAAAGTTAAATTCTCTGATTTTATTATTCCGTACAACATGAAATTTAAACTGTAGAACAGATGACCAATTAAAATCCGCATGTAAGTGTAGTCGTTGTTGCCATGCGTTTAAAATATATGGTTTTTTCTTATTTTTTTGCACAATCAGTGAATATATTATTTTCGTATTAAGTTTTGACAAATCTATCATATCCCCTGTCGAAATCTCAATGGTCTGTAAATCAATTACTTCATCACGTTCTACATCCTGTGATTTACGCAACCATACCAAGGGGAAAGCCTTTTTCAACATAGCAAACTTAAAAGCAAATAACATTTTGGGTAACCCATATCTTTGGGCAGTTTCGTCAGAGTTTTTCCATCGACCGTCATTAAGAACATGGTGTACTCTTTTTATTCCTCCTCTCTCCCACACCTTAAAATGAAGCATTCGGTTCCTTATTTTAATATTACTATTATTCCATAGTATCGTTCTCATTATGTTATTCGTCCCCTCAATATTTACATATTTTAGTTCAGACCATATACAAAGCAAATCAAAGTAAAAATATGGCAAATTTGCTGTTTTACATAATTTTTCCATGTCTTTCTTGTGACAGTTAAATTCTAAACTTAAGGGTATTCCCCCAACCTTGTCAATCCAATAGGAAAACAATGTTTTCCATGAGGTATTTTGACAGTTCAAATATTTCATTATCCATGAAAGACGCAATGCACTAACTCTAGCTTCCAGATCAATCATTCCCAACCCCCCACTTGTAACATCATTAATACAAATATTTCTTCTTATTTTTTCTGTTTTTGAGCGCCACAAAAAGGAGTATAATAACTTATTAATTCTTTTGATGGCATCTTTGGGTGCTGGAACAGCAGTAGCCACATATACTATTTGTGATGCAGCTAGCATCTTTATAACTGTGTTTTTCCCGTAGTACGTCAGATGACGCATTTTCCACAAATCTAAAATTCTTTTAATCTTGTCAATTTTTCCTTCCCAATTTAGTGTTTCTACTTCTTTTATATTCATCCCTACATAAATCCCAAGAAATTTAAATGGATCGTTTGAAAAAGCCAATCCTTCAATTTCATTTGCATCACATCTTTGTGAAAGCTGCATTATTTTCGATTTATCCCAATTCACCAAAATACCAGCGTATCTGCCAATTTTTTTTATTTCGTCCATTGCATGTCTCACTGACGCAAGTGAACTGAGTGTCATTACAGTGTCGTCTGCATATTGTGCAATTTTAATTTCTGTTTCAAGTCCTTCATGATTTTTATCTAGAACTTGTATACCTTTAATATCTTTATTTTGATTCACCTTTAACGCTAAGATTTCTGCAGTAATAATAAATAAAAATGCTGATAGTGGGCATCCTTGCCTTACACCTTTCTCCTTGCCAGTTTTGTCAAAAAGTATCATTTTTCACAATTCATGAAATGATCTTAAATTACATATTTTGAAAAGAGAATAGTCATACACACCTTCTATAGATGAAAAGATATGAAAATGGGCCGTTTGAAAATTCATGTGATTTTGGCAAAAAAATGATGGGCTAACATCTTGCCATTTTGGTCAAAAAAGTGTCATTTTTCACATTTCATGGAATGATCTGCAATTACATTTTTTGATTCGACAGAGGTCATACACACCTTTAGAGATAAAAAGATATGAAAATTAGCCATTTGCAAATTCATGAATTTTGGCCAAAAATGATGGGCTAACCCCTTGCCAGTTTTGTCAAAAAGTGTCGTTTTTAACATTTCATGAAATGATCTGCAATTACATTTTTTGATTTGTCAAAGGTCATACACACCTTCTAGAGATGAAAAGATATGAAAATGGGCCATTTGCAAATTCATGAATTTTGGCAAAAATTGATGGGCTAACCCCTTGCCATTTTGGTCAAAAAAGTGTCATTTTTCACATTTCATGAAATGATCTGCAATTACATTTTTTGATTGGTCAAAGGTTAAACACACCTTCTAGAGATAAAAACATATGAAAATCGGCCATTTGCAAATTCATGAATTTTGGCCAAAAATGATGGGCTAACCCCGTGCCATTTTGGTCAAAAATTGTCATTTTTCACAATTCATGAAATGATCTAAAATTACATATTTTGAATAGACAGAGGTCATACACTCCTTCTAGAGATGAAAAGATATGAAAATGGGCCATTTGCAAATTCATGAATTTTGGCCAAAAATGATGGGCTTACCCCTTGCCAGTTTTGTCAAAAAGTGTCATTTTTCACAATTCATGAAATGATCTTAAATTACATATTTTGAAAAGAAAATAGTCATACACACCTTCTTAAGATGAAAAGATACGAAAATGGACCATTTGAAAATTCATGTGATTTTGGGAGAAAAAAAATGATGGGCTAACCCCTTGCCATTTTTGTCAAAAAGGTGTCATTTTTCACATTTCATGAAATGATCTGCAATTACATTTTTTGATTCGACAGAGGTCATACACACCTTTAGAGATAAAAAGATATGAAAATGGGACATTTCAAAATTCATGAATTTTGGCCAAAAATGATGGGCTAACCCCTTGCCAGTTTTGTCAAAAAGTGTTCATTAGGAAAACATCTCATTTGAGCTCTGCTCACCAGTTCACCACTTTTCCTGGAGCTACCATAATCTGATAGGAGCACTGACCACTGATAAAGGGATTACCAGTAGGGTCCATGGGGAGAGAGACAGTGGTCAATCATAGCCTAGTTACTGATAAAGGGGTTACCAGCTGGTATCTGATATCCAGTCCAGATTCATAG